ATCCAGAGCCCAGCCAGCCAAGTCCCCTTAACTATTTGCATGATAAAAATCTTTCATCAAGCGCCAGCAGAAACAATCTCAGAGTCTCAACTTCTTGTGCTGCATAATTCGACGATTGCCAGAGGAGAATGGGATTTCCGCTTTTGGCTACTGGTCCTGTTCCTGGCACCGGCATTGGCACGGGCTCCTTTTGTGTGGTAAACACCTAAAGTAGTAAACTGGGATTTAAGCATCCACCCACCCACACACTCACCTACGTGTCTATAAAAATTTTACGTAGCATCGCATCGGCAAGGACAAAAACTTTTGCCACTCAGGAGCCAGAATCTGGATTGGGTGTTGGTTGAACGGAAACGTCCTTATGCAGGATATTCCTTTTATTGCCACATGCCACCGGCAGGGGAAATTGGGAGCCCGAATACATACATAAATTCAACCTTATGTGGCATGGCTCCTGGCAAGCAGCTCAAAAGAAAAAAGACCCAATAGGGACATTATGGCGTACGCCGGAATCTATAGAATATGTAAAACGTTTCTCGCAAAAAAGATTAAAAAATTTTGCAATTTTAATATCCGTCCAAGGAGAAGTATCCAGTATCCAGTAAGCAGTATCCAGGAGCCAGGATCCACTAGCACAAGACCAATTTCCAGACAAAGTCGCTGGGCAAACAAACAAAAATTTCAAAGTTCTTTTTAAACAAAAGCAATGCAAAAAAGGATATAACATTTGGTGGGTGGTTCTGGGTGGGTTTGTTTGTTTATCTATACATATGCCGTAATTGTTTTGTCAGAAAGTTTTATAAGCCTCAGCTGCGATGCAAATATGAAAGGAGAGAAACTACTTGTTGAAAAATGTTTTAAATTAGATGGCAAGATGTCCAGGAAGCTGAAAGCCTCAGATGAAAGAAGACCGGACTTTGGCTTAAAATTTAACCTGAACCTCCTTTTAAGTGACCCCCAAATATTTGGTCTTGAACTTTGTTTCCGTTCAATGAATCAACTTTTGTGTCAGTTAAGAACTTTTCCTTTTTAACTGCTGAATTTTCTTTTCGTTTAAGGCTCGACCCATCCATTATAGGACTATGGGTTGTCCTGCCGGCAAAGCCGCTTAGAGCCATGAATTCCATCGTCCACCGAGCTTCTTATTAAGAAGTCCGCGTGCACCTTTAGAAACTTACCCCGAAGGACAAGCTGGTTTCCTAGGAGTCCCAAAAATCCCAAAAAAAAGGAGACCAAATGAAAGGAACGGTCTATAGATGTTTTGGACTAAAGGATACCCTGTCTAAAGAGTTCTTGATTTAAATATGGAGTTTGTTTTGAGTTTTCCACTAGAGAACTGGAATGTAATACATTTTAACAAGCTCATTATACCCGGAAATACCCCTTATAAAAGTGGGGAACCACACAAAACGGATACCCCATCCCATAGCCGTATCCATGGCCTGGCATTTAAGATAAATGATCGCCTGCCAACAATGCACAAAGAGTCACAAAAAGTTTGGTCACGTTTGTGCTATTTGGCGGCCAAGGCATATGCTATGCTCGGGTCCTGCGATGCTGGGGTATTGGTATCCTGGCATCCCGGTATCCCGGAATCCCGGGGTGGCTGTCTAGCTTGCATTCACCTTGGCGAAAATTTTAATATGTTTATGTGCGGGAGGGTGGTTTAAAATTCAAGACACACGCTGCAGCTTAAACGTTTTAGAAATCTATTTTTCAAAGAAACACATGACAGGAAAGCAGACGGAGGGGCAGAGCCGAGAGTCGCATGTGTGCGTGCGAATTGCATTTAATTGAATCGTCTGGGACGCAGGTGAAAGTGCCTGCCCTGCCCAATCGCCCCCACTGCAACCCCCTCGAACGACTTAGAACAGAAGACTGAGAAGAAAGATGCCCGTGAGGAGGACCAGTCCGTAGAGGAAGGCCAGCTCCAGGTTCAGACCCTCGCAAACCTCCAGACGGTTGATCGCCTGCTGGGCGAGCTTCAGCTTGAGGCAGTGCACGTAGAGCACCAGAGTATGGTGGATGATCGTGTGCTCGACCCACTGAAGGTGCTCCAGATGACGGTAGAACTGCTCAAAGCTGAGGGTCATTGCCTTCTCGTAGATCTTGCCTAGCAATTCCTTCGGAATGTTGGTATCGATGAGGTTGGAGTCCAATCCATGGAGGTTAAGCTGCTCCATCAGCTCCTTGTTATTGCTTAGTGGCGTGATATCTTGATCATTTTCCGTCGGGTATAGTAGTCTCAGAATCATGCGCCGCAATATGCTATCCTGCAACTGCGGCAGCTGATGGCCCCTCTTGACGGATCCGCGCAAAATGCACAGTGCGTGTATATAGTCGCCTCGGCAAATTTTCATGATAACGTTGTCGGCCACAAGGCGCTGTTGGGCGGTAAGCAACTCGTACATATCAGCTACTTGTGACAGGTTTCGAAAAGAAAAAATATAAATCTAAAAATGTACATCAGATGGAATAGGGCTTTAGGAATGGTCAGTCGATGGGAGGTTTGATGTTATGAAAAAGGTTAGGCACTGGCTACTTTTTAACAAGAAAATCATTTAAACCCTCTATCAATTTGTTTTAAGCCATTTTTACCACTTAAGGGGAAGAACTTAAAAAAAAACTAAAAATACTCACCTCTATTTGGTCCTTCGAGACAAATTTCCAGGATGAAGCATTATTGCTCTGTTATTTAGGACTTTTCTTCAAGATTTTTACAAAATATTTCCTCTTAAAACCTAACTTTTAAAAATTATAAAAAAGCGAATTTAATTTTCCAACCCCAAAGATTTTTTGCCATTTGCAATGGTGCCACTTGTGACTACCATAAATCGGTGCCACATATGGAAACTTTACAAGTGGCTCGCGTCGCCGTCTGTGCGCACAATTCAAATGGAAATCAAAGTGGGCGTTCATGAGTTAAACACTCGACGAGCTTGGTGGCACGGAACTTGGTATGAGGCATGAGGCACGAGCCGTGAGGCAACGGAAGCAGCAGTGTGACAAAGTCGCTGCCACAACTCGACTCAACTCTATACGAGGCGGGGCACTTGTGGTTTACGACCTGCTTGCAGGCAGAAAAGGCGAAAGATGGATCCTGGGAGCAGAAATAAAATTGCACACATCCTACACAAAGGAAAATAAATGTTTGAATTAAACATATATCAATGTAGGGATAAATAAAGTCTTAAGACCTTGTTCTTCCATCTATAACGTTTTTTTCTTCAGTGCAGTGATAGAGGAAGGAGCTGGCTTTCAAGGATGAAAGGAGGAATCCCTGAAATGGCTGCGCCATTTCTTTTCTGTTCCTGATGCTGTTGGGAAAATTTATTATTCTCGTCTAGATGAGTTCATTATGCGAACAGCAGTTGCCAGTTGGGGGCCGCTGCCTTTGAATGCCGAATGCGAAAACAATTTAATTTTATTGTTTTCCACATAAATTCCCTCCGAATTATGCATTGTGTAAAAAACATCATATGAAATTTGAGTGGCACACACTCACACATGCGGTATCTGGCAGAGATTGTTGGCCATATAATTGAGTCACGTTTGCCCAGGGATTAGGTTCGTTATTGTTTGCTCTGGAAATATTCAGATTTATGCCGCGAATAGAAACGTATTGGAAATTGGCATTCAGTGATTTATGGAAGCGACAAGCCAACATGCATATTGGAAATTCCAACCCAGAGACAAGGAAGACTCCCAAGGGACTCCAACCTGAGGCCGGCAAAGTGTCTACCAAAAGTAATCTTAGTTTTAGTAAGCAACCAAGTCATTGCTATCGTTTGGGCTTTAATATATAAATTACCACATTCTAACCAAAACCCACATTAAGACCACAAATAAACCCATTTTTCTAAGGATATAATAGCAGCAAGAACTGCTTGTATGTCTACGTGTTTATAATGCCAATAACCCCCGATAATCCTGCCGGTGAAACTGTGCTGGATGTGGTTGGATCAGCTACAAAAATCAAAATTCGTGATGGCATGCAAGTTCAACGGCATCCGCCCTTCCGGTGTCCTCTGACCTGCAAACGGAGCGAACGAAATTTAATTTATCTGTATCAGTTCCACCACCCCAAGGCAGGGCGGCAGGATATGGAGAGTGGAGCCGGAACAGCTGCAGCTGGAGCCGGAGCTGAACACATGTTCGAACAAATTCATCTGGCATGTCACAATGCGCAACGGTATGCAGAAACATCCCGGAGGAGAGGACATTGTTATGGATAAGCTCGGTCTCGGTCTTGACTCGATATTGGCATCCTTTTAGTTTCTGCCTCGGCTGCAGATTGCACGTGACAGGACTCGACGAAAAGTGAAACTTGGCAAATATTTTGTTGGAGCATATTTGGCAGCAGCCGGGGGAGACATTCTTCATCCACATCATCCCCCAAAAAGACCCCAAGCTCCACGCAAAAGTCCCCCCGCCGGAGTGGCAAGTGTCATTAATCAAATGCCGCCCAATAATTTCCAACCCTTTCTGCGCCAGTTTTTGAAATATGAACTTTTTGCTCTGATGAATGCCGGCACTCATTAATAAATTAGGGGTTAAAATGCCATAACAACGAAAAGCCCGCCGAGGGGATATGGGAGGCAGAGGGAAACCGTTTTGGCAGCCGCCGAAAAGTTGTTTATTTAATTGAAAGCGAAACGAGGCGGCCAACAGATTGCTTTAACTCAATTAAATCAGGCCAGCGAGGGGCCCCGAATAGAACAGATTAACTTTTGGATTAACGATCCCAACATTTGCTGTCAATCTTAAATTGAATTAGGCTTCAGGGCAGGCATGTAAGCCCGGGATTTAATTAACTAATGATTTTTTAGGGCAAACAATAATATTTATTCATGATATTAAATATACAAGTTCTAGTAATTATAGTAGGGCTCCCCTCAGATGCCAAGTATAAACACCTTTTTGTAATTCACATTTCTTTAGATATTTACTCCCTTTCCAAGAAAACACTCGTATTAACCTGAATTCCCAGTTAACCCAAAGACATGTGGTGGAATGGAGGCGAATGCCGGGCTCCGGGTCTGCCGGAGACCGATCCCGAGGTGGAGGAGACCGAGGTGCTGAGCAGCGGGGCAGAGCCTTCCGTGGGTGAGGAGATAGAGGACCTGGACGGTGCCTACGAAGAGCTGGAGCTAATCAAGCAGCGCCTGTTGCAGCTGCGGGAGATACTCCTGCCGCCGCAGAAGGACAAGTGCTACCAGCAACAGGAGGAGCAGGAGAGGGAGGAAACATCCTTCAAGACCCAGGAAAGCTTGCAGCTGATTGAGTTGCGTCGCCAGAACTGCCAAATGCGATGCAAGCTTGCCACCTCATACGAGCATCTGAACTCCACCCGGAAGCAGATCAAGGAGCTGGAAGGATGGCGCTGCCTGCTCCAAACCCGCATCCAAAACATGACCAAGCAGGTAACACAATTCGAAGAGTTTAAGATCAGAGCCATTCACCACTTTGCCCTGTGCATTGAGCGCTGGGAGCAGCAGAAGACCACCAAGGTGGATCACGTCACCTACCGCAACCGGATGCAGAAAGTGGTCTACCACGCGGATAACTGCCGCCAGGTCTTGGTGCCGCTCCACTGCCACATGGCAGCTCGGGAGCACGTCCGTATGGAACTGATGCTATTGCGTGCCTTCCTCCACAACCTCCTCGAGGCGATGGTCAGCGACTTTCGGTTCTTCTGTCGCCAGATGAGTGTCAGGTGGGTATCGCTTGGAATCTATCAATAACATCCATCCTAATCACTATTCCTTATTCTCAGGTACACAAAAATATCTCTGCCGGAAGTCGGTTCCGGTCATTCTACCAACAAGCATTCAGCAGATATGGACACTCCGTCCCATTCCTTGGCATCATTCGATTTATCGCTTCGTAATTTTACCGAATAATGTTTCCATTTTCATTTCCCGAAGCCCTCTGTTCTTAATTGTCGGGGAAATGCGGCACAATTGGGAATTGGCGGCCTTTATGGCACTTTCGTGGCCTATTCCCCGAGCCAATAATAATTTGAGAATTTAAACCCTAGCGGGGGAGCCCCGCTCTTCTCATTAAAGCCCGGCTATCATAGCTTTTCCGTCCGCCCAATCCAATGCCAGTGTCAATGCCAGAGCCAGCAAATGTGCTCGGATTCCCACCAGGATAAGATGCGTAAATACGAAACGGCATCAGATAAAAACAAAAGCAGATTTGTCTTTCCCCAACCGAGCAAATCGCCACCACACACTGAAATAGACGAAAGCTAAGCCGACAGCTCCGGGCACTGCCTGAAATCCTTATCCTGCTCCAGCTTCAGCTTAAATTCCAGCTCCTGGCTCTGGTATCCTTTTTTTGGAGGTTTACGAAATGCGTAAAAACTCAATTGCTGCGCGTTTGGCGGAGGGTTTGAGGGATGAGTCAGGACGGGACGTGTAGGAGAGTGGGGCCAGCAGGAATCCTTAGAATCCTGCATCGACATGGGTCCCGGGTCGAGAGAGATGCCTGATACGGTGAATGGGGACCAAGGAGGGAAAGGCGAAAACGAATTTATTGGAGTCATGTGCCGATAAGCGTTGGCTTCCCAATGCCAATGCCAAATTACAATGTAACAAGCGGTGCAAACAGACTGGATGGGTTGGAGCTCAAAACAACGAACAATAGTCACTCTAAGAGGTAAATGAGGGGGTTTATTAGAGGGTTTTCTGACTTCTGGTTGGAATAATAATATATCAAAAACGATGTGACTACAGTTTAAATATCTTTAATGATTTTATTTTTATTTTTTCCAACTAAGCCCTAAGAGTTCTTCAGGTTTCTTTATTGATTCTATTAAACAAAGTCTTTCTAGGCACTACAAATAGTTCATTTAAAACTAAGAAAGCAAGCTACTCTTCATTGGATAGGGTAGACAAACAGAGATGGAAACATGCAGATACACGGATACAGACACCAGGCACACACCACGGGCCAAAACATGGCTGAAACACAGGAAACGCATTAGATACTACTACCCGATTCGGAGTTGTAGCCAAACGGTGCCCCCCAACTCGCGGGTGTCCATCCTACTCGTCCGGGTCTCCGAGGCCGGGGATGCTTTGATAGAAATCAGCGTGGAGTGATGCGGCCATTTGATGAGCCACTAAGTTTGGGCAATTAGTTTGGTAAACGCTCGGAAGTGGCATGACCTGTTTGGGGGGCTTAAATGACGATGGTAATGGTATTGGAATTTTACTTAAATACTTTAGAATTGATCGACAATTTTCTATTTAATTTTGAAACTATTCCCAGGCCCATGACCCGTGGCCATATTCCCAGCTAGCCAGATAGCCAGTCATCCAGCTAGCCTGGCTAAGAGATATTCAGTTCTAACGGAACTCGGCTCAGATACTTAACAATCGCCGGCGGTTTCGTGCTTTAGCTGCTCCACTGAACTCTTTGACAGGAGAACGCTCACCCGACTTGCTAATAAGCCGAGGCCCAGGTCCATAAGAAGCACATGGCCCATGGGCTGTGTTTTCCGTTTTCCAGCAATCGCATAGATACATTTCGAGTGCCCAAGTTTGCTCTGCTCTTCTGCACTCGTCTCATTCGAGTCAGCCGCAAAGTACAAATAATTTCCATTTGGCCAAAGCGGCATCATTTGCATTTTTTTTCTTCTCCAACATCCAACCAACGGCCACAGCCTCAAAAAGACAAACATGCCCGGCGGGCAGAAGCAGCAGCGAGTATTTAAATAGCTGCCAGATACTTATAAATACTTTGTCGTCTCGGCAAACGATACGGCACAAGTTGTAGATAAATATGGCATAGATTACATAACTAGTTCTGCGCCACAATAAAACTTTTCCAGCCAGCCCAGCGGCAGGCGGTCCGGACAAGTATCTTCTCATACAAAGCCATAAGTATCTTATAGTTCTTTCCAAACACACACACATCTGCCGAATACCAAAACATAAGCAGACTCCGGTTCGGTAGCTTTTTTTGGTTATTTCTACGGATGAACTTTCGAGGGCGCCGTGGCTTAGTTGGTTAAAGCGCCTGTCTAGTAAACAGGAGATCGTGAGTTCGAATCTCGCCGGGGCCTAACCCAAGGAAGCACTTGTGGCAAAAATGGGTGTGTTTATATTTTTTTATTTCTCTCGATAGGTAGAATCATCAAGCCCCTTATAAAATAATTTAATCGGCTTCCATGATTGCTTTTCTCCCTGCCCTAATAGCAGTTTATTGTTCTGCTTGCCAGCTGTCGCTCTTTAACCCATTAACGAGTTTCAATGGCCGCAATTTCGGTTACAATAATCATTAGAAATATTGTTAAGGGAAAGGGAGCTGATTTCTTTAAAAGAAGGGACTAAAAAGCTTGCCAAAAGCTCTACGAGGGGTAAGATTGCTACTTGAAACTCATATGTTTTATAATATACATAAATGGCAAGTTTGTGATTAAATATAAGATTTATTTCAACATGATAGACAATCTCAAACTAAGGATTATATAAAATGTATCCCTTAAATGTATTTTACCAAATCAGCCCTTATTTTTAGGGTCTAAATTATAGGTTTGTGTCCCGACTTATAAAAGCTTTTCGCTAAGGTATTCCCCATGCGAGGAGTCCCATTGTTTTATCGCAACGCCTTCGTATCTACTGTTCAATATCACTCGAAACAGCTAAACAAATATTAATTAACACAATGGGTTTCTTACCAAAAAAGAAGAACATCGGAAGCCAGTTTTTCCTGAAATGGACTAGTAGAACGGCCGATGTCACAACGGCGCCGTGGCTTAGTTGGTTAAAGCGCCTGTCTAGTAAACAGGAGATCGTGAGTTCGAATCTCGCCGGGGCCTACAAGTTTCAGATCAGGTGTGATGATCTACTTTTTGACATGTATTTGCATTTTTTTTATTCAACACTCTTAACTAAACTTAACGACATTAATTAACAAGCATCGGGGATCTAACCACCTAGTCCTTGTAGACCAAATACAAGACGACAATCATGAAGTACGTGGGCCGCTCAAAAACCAGCTGGGTGAAATTGTCCCGCTTCTCGTCCATCAGGTGGCACATCCGCTGGTAGACGCCCTGGTTCTGCTTCTCCACAATCGACAGCAGGCAGACAATGCGGTGCCTGCCCAAAAAACGTAGTTTAGTTTAAAAATTTATTGATTATTGTATCTGAAGCTTTTTTCTTACCTCCTATGATTAAGTTTCTTGACCCGGTCCCTGATTTCCGCTGCGAGTCCTTCGACGAGCTGCAGGGCCCGCCAGGAGTCGTAATTGCGACTAAACCGATCCCACAGCAGCCGCTCCTCAATGCAATCCTCGATGATCTTGTGGGCCCTCTCCATGTTGAAGTTGGTGTGGAAGAACTTCCAGTCGTTCTTTGGTTTCTCCTTCTTGACCTCCCCACCCTCGGCGGCAGAGGCTTCTCCCTCGGGGTTTTGGGCCGCCCGCCGCCTGCTAAGCATGGATTCGGAAAGCAGGGCATTCATGCGGTTGGTGGTCCGCACTGAAGCGGTTATCCTGTAAGTGGGGAAATAATACATTATTGTCTTTTATAGATTCCTTCTACTCTACCAAACATAAAACTCATAAAACCTCAACTATAACGCAAAGGCATTTTTGACGACCTTGTCCTAATTTTAGCTCGTTTTTTCTTGTTTTTCTTCCTAATATTATCCACAAGAACTATATTATTTCTTACCGCGTTTTCATTGTATTCCAGCTGGTCATGGTGACAGGATTCCTGTAAAGGATTTAGGGAACTGCCTCGGCAGTCCGCCAGCCGGCAGCGGAAAAACAAACACGGAGCTCTGCTATCTGCACACTGACAGGAACATCAGCCGAGGGCGGCATGCCGACACACGAGTCCCTCTGACCCCTGACCCCTAACCAATAACCCCTTATCCCTGGCCCACATGCTACCATGTGGCATCCACACGTCGTCAAAAGTTCATTGAAGCTTTGTTGGTTTAGGCCTGCTCTTCTATGGGCCCTAGAGATGACCCAAACAGTTGAAATGGCATTGCGAGCTTGGGTTCAGGAGCTGAAATCCCATCACGATGTCATCTCCATGGAGAGCTTCGGCTTTGGCCTTCCGGCTTGCGTGCCGCTTATCATAAATCCACAGACGGCGCTCCAATTGCAACCAGCCGGTGATGGCGGCGGAGACGTGGGTGTCATCGCCACCAGCCACTCGGCGGGGGCACATCCACCTGGTTGGATGTTTTCAGGGGGCAAAGGCACTGGCAAAGTGTTTCCATACATAGGGATATGTGTGGGCGGGCTATGGGCTGTGGGCTGAGGATGGAGGCCGTGGAAATTACTATGGGCTGCGACAGCACGCGATCCCCTCCTGAAGTTGATGACTTTTGATCGGCTGCTCTGCGACACCTGGGCGAGGTCTTCGCGGCCGGGTGAGTGGCTCTGTCTTGGCGCGAACTTTCAAGCACCTTGATTACATTTTATCGCAAAAGTTTAGCGATTCCCCTATAGCGTATGCAAACTTCGCGTTGGCCTGAAAACTTAAATCTATCTGTGGATTTTTATGAAGTTGCCAAATTGAAATAACTGTCGAGTCACGTGAACCGTTGACGAGTCTTCATTGTCCTGAAATGGCCAGGTAAGTGGCCGGGAGGCGATAAAGAGAGTTGCACATTCAGCAGGCCAGCTTTTTTTGGTGTAGGACATGGTAGTTGGCTTTCTGGCTAAAATGGCACCGCTAACAGAACATTGAATATGAATAGAAATTTGTTGAAAGCCATGGAAATCATTTTGAATGTCGGGTTTCAGGCAAAAATGGTATAATGGACTAAACTTCAATTTATTTTTTAACACCACAATTAAGTTATTTATCTAAAGAATTGAACACAACTCCAACTCCATTTTAGATTGGCTAATGCCATTGCACTGGCCCAGTTCCCCAAACACGCAGCCATTAGCACTCTAACCAATGAAATCGGGAACCAGCACGAATCCTAAACCATTTTATTGCCAAACTTTTCCAACCCACGCCCGAATGAATGGGAGACTTTGACACACGTGTCGGTGGGTGTAAATTAAACAGAAGCTAAGCAAATTAAGCAATTTGTACCGTGCCCCACTGCTGCCACAATTATGTGGCAGGCACACCGAGCGAAGAGGCGAAGAGCGGCGGACGCACACCAGACGGGTTCGAACTCATTAGCACCTGAGTGCACGCGAGCAGCGCGAAAATTTGCATATAACTTACGCTTGCATGCGACTCATGGCAGCGGTGCGGCGCCTTAACTTATGCTTCGCTTTTTCGGGATTTGGAATTTCGACGAGCCGCTCGAGCGCCCGTCCTAAATGAAACTGGCTCTGGTCTCCGGCTCCGGGAGCTCCCAAGCATAAAAGCGCAAAAACAGCGAAAGCGAAGAAAGGTGAAAGGGTTGGACAGAGTGCGCCAACAAGGTGTACGCTTTGATGGTGATTGGCTCACGACTTATGGCAGCACGTATACTATGGCATCCAATACTACAATAAAGGAAGTGTCACACTGGAAAATATTCCAAAATACAGAGTTTTAATCAAAGAACCTTAATGTTTATTCCTCTTTACTTTAATTAATTCTTTAAACACCAAAATATCGTGCAGTAGGTGAGGGCAAAGCAATCCAAAACTATTTGTTTCAGTGCATGTCACTCGTTAGCTCCGTTTGGCTTTGATTTTAGTTAGCATGTCTGAAGACAACTCAACGGCAATATTCGGGTCTGCAGGGTATGCAGAGCAAATGTGTGCCAATGTATTCTAAATTGTGTTTATTTTGAGTAATTTACCATCCATCGCAGGCACACATATTACACATATTTATATCGCCTGACTCTGCCAGACAGTTTGGCAATTAAAACTGTAGGTTTCCAACTGTCGATTGGTTGCATGCAAACTAAATAGTTTATAAACGAAACAAAAAGTGAAAAAATATTTGCATCAAACCCCTATAAGCATATAGAAGTTTCTAAACAAATCGCGTGTTGAAAAATCACATTAACTGACCAATAAATTAAGCTCTAAAGGTTGGCCAAATTAGAAGATTGACAGGAGGTAACCATAAGGATTTTTTCTCCTAAAAAAATATTTATGGTATTAGGTCCTTGATAATTATTCGTGTGGGTTGAATCTAGACTCGTGTTGATGGAATAATCTCTCTCTTTCTGTATCTTGGAAGCTGCCATCTCTGGTTTTATGTTGTTCGATTTGGAACGCCAAACTCATAAAAGTTGCAAACACATATGCCAGCGACTGAAACAAAGATTATTGTTAATACAATATAAAACAATAAAACATTAGGTAAATCTTCACCCACCTGAATAGCAAAGAACATCCATCCAGCAAACATCAATGTTTCTAGACCTTTATTGTAAAAGTCCTTCATCTTTACTAAGCAGCCCCGAAGGAAAACAGAATGGTTTTGGAAGAAACAGCTTTTGGGCAAAGACAGTTTGGCGTCACGATAATCAATAGGACCAAGGATTCCGCAGCAATTAAACTAAACCTCAGACTTGCAGTTATAAATTGATAATTTGATAAACATATTTGCATACTTTTTCCTGAAACTGGGACATGCTATCTTTCCCCTTGATTTCCTCTTCCCAGGCCATATCTAAGGTCGTTAGAGAATATGGGGTCACATCGTGTGGCAAGGATAACGCGACGATCGTCAAACACACCAGGATAAGCAATGAAAAGGCGTACTGAAAGAATACTCCTTTTTTGAGAAGATCTACTTTAAGTCTTTTCGGATATTTACCACCAAAGTAAGAAAAATGCTCTTCTTTATGACTGCAACGCATCCAAAGATTGATATGACAAAGCCGATCCCTCCACCGGCTATTGAAGTTACGAATATTCCTTTTCCGTACCCAATTTCACCATTTAAGCCTTTGGCACCAACAAATATTATTCCAATACATGCTAGCTGTATATTTAAAAAACTTTTGTATGATTCTATAAAATTTATACAAATATTAAAGGTAGTTACCACCAACAAAATAGTTAATAATAATTCCAGATATTTAAGAGAACCCGTTCCACAACTCATGGCGTTGAAAATTATACTAAATTTCTATTTATTTTTAAAGTAGAGCTATGAATTCGATACTAGTTGTTTGCTGACTTTTTTAAAACTAAGTTCTAAAGGCATGAAAGTCATCAGAAAAATAAAATTTGTTTGATAAGGCAGTTTCTGACTAATAGTGGTTACACTTTCCTATAGCTTATACTTTTAAAAGTCATACTTTTAAGTCATAATCTGCCTTTGTATTTTTTGGTGGAACAAACAGTGGATCTCGGAGGCTATAAGAAACCAGAAATCATTTAACACGTTATTGTATTCTAAATTGTGTTTATTTAAAGTTTTAATTCATTGCAGAAAACATATTAAACATACATACATATTATTAGTTTCCCAAAATTTAATAAACTTTATTTACAGTATATTTAAACGAACGTGCTTTTAACATCACGCTCAATATAGAAGAACACACATAGAGAAAAAACTGGAATATATATTACTGTTAATAAAATGCAAAAAAATAAAGTTTAAGGCAATTATTACGCACCTGAACAGCGAGGAGTATCCGGCCACCTTTCATATACATCTCGAGACCAATATCGTAGGAATCTTTTAGCTTATCTAGGCAGCCCCGAATGAAAACAGTATGGCTTCGGGAGAAGCAGCTTTCAGGATAGGCCATTCCACTATCATTATAATTTTGGGAACCATAAATGCCACAGCAGTGAAACTGAAACTAAGTCTTAATGTTACGCACTAATTTTCTTAAAATGTTAGTACCTTTTTTTGGTAGTAACTCATGCCATCATTTCCTTTTTTTTCCTCTTCCCAGGCCTCATCTAAAGTCCTTAAACTGAGAGATGTCACATTATAACATAAAGACAGCACGATGATCGTCATACACTGAAGGATTAGCAGTGCAACGGCATACTAAGAGGAGATTCATGTCCATAAATATTTTTATTAAAAACTTTTGTGTTGATTACCGTCCAAATTAGGCAACATTTCCTCTTTCTTACAGCACGGTTTCCAAGCATTGAAATAATTAGGCCAAAAAAGGCGATTGAAAGGCCGATTTTTTTAAATTCGACTGGAACATTTTCATTAACGTCTTTTCCAAGAAAGATGGTTATGAAAAAACATGCTAGCTATATTAAAATGATCAGTTATAATTATTTAAATCCACCTCAAAACAATTAAATTGGAATTCATTAGGCATTTTGTTTAAATTATTTATTTGTATATCAATGGTACTCACTGACAACAAAATATTTAATATTAACACTAGATATTCAAGACAAATTGTTTTCCAATTCATGACGTAACGGAATGTGTTTATATTGGATATATTAATATGAGCTCTTGATAGGTATTCAGTGAATGCTAGTTACTTTTAAACTAATTCGAAATAATTTTGAAAAATTGTATATACGACTGTGGCTTTCAATACTGGAGATATGTTTACAAGTCTGATTCATAGAGAAAGCTTTTTTCAGGAGATATTATCTGACTAATAGGGGTAGCTAGAGATATTTTTTAACTATTAAAAACTTTCATAGGAGCCACGAATTCGGTTTAAAAACTTTACTGCCAAGGCGGTGGCAGAAACAAAGGCAGCAATCTGTAAATAAGGTAGTTTCACTATTTAATATAAAATCAACATGAAAAACATATTTAATTAGAAACACGCACCTCAATGACCATGTGTATCCAGTTGACAATCCTAAATTGCTCACAGAAAGCCTCCAAATAACCTAGACAGCCTGCTCTGAACACGTTGTTGGATTTTTTGCAGTAACAGCTTTTAGGAAAATGTATACCATGTATTTGATAATCTTGAGGCCCCGTAATTCCGCAGCAATGAAACTAAAATATGAAAAAATCGTAGAATTTATAGTACTTTATAAACAATTCGACATACTTTTTCCTGGTATAAGGACATCCCATCGGTACCATTCATTTCTTTCGCCCAGGCTCTATTTAAAGCTTTAAGGGCAATCGAATGTCCATCAAATTTGAAAAATAAAGGTACAATCGTCAATATTAACACAATTATCAATAAGATGGCATACTAAAATAAAATATTTCATTTAATATGAGTTTAATATAAGTATAAAACCGAATGGCTACTTACCGCCAGGGTAATGCGAAAGTTTTCCTTAATGGCGCCATAGAATCCTACAATCGATATTAAAATAGAAACTGCTCCAATGGCGATAACACAGGAGTATAAGGATCGTCCATTGTAAAAGTCATCTGTAACGCCGATAACACTGACTACAATCAGCGAAATGCCAACTAACTAGTAATAAAAATGGGAAAATACTATCAGAAAAATAAAAAATAAAAAATAGCTTAAAAAATGTTAAAGAATAAATAATTATATCATCAATCAATAATAACTCCCACATAGATATGGAAAGTATCACAACATTTTGAACGTATACTCACTGCTATCAAAGTGTTGAAAAGATAAACCAAATATTTAAGAAAAATTGTGTGGCAATGCATATTGCTAAGCTTAGGATTGTTCTATATTTATTTAAAATAAATCGAGCACCCCAAACTTTGTGTTCCTTGGTTGATGGTCGTTTTTCAACTGAGTATAATTATCGAATAAAAAAACCGCTTCCAACCAATCCAAAATAGACTCATACTATGCATAATGTTTTCCAATAAATTTTATTATACTTATATGTCGCTGTTTTAGGATGCTTACCCCTCCATATGTGCAATATTACGACATGAATAATATACATACATATGTGTAATTCCATGAGTAATTAAAAAAAATTAAAATATTACAAATACCCAGTGAAAATTTATCACATATTGTGATTGCGAGACCACAAATTATTCAATCATTTGTATTCACAGTTTATACATTAATGTGTCGCTTTATTTTTTATTGTTTTGTACAACTAATATTTACCATGTAAAATCTCTTCAAGCGTTAATATTGGGCGCGGCGAGCTTTGTTATTTAACCTTACCCCCAGAATCGTGGACCAGACAAAAGAAGCCATCTATAAGAATCCTTAGATTAGTTTATGAACAATAAAAATGCACCAATGAAGTACCTGAACAACCATCAGAGCCCAACCAACAAACTGGGGCGCCGATAGATTATCCTCAACCTCGGACTTCATTTTTCCTAAACAACCAGGGTGATCCTCATTATTTTCACCTCTGCAGCTTTTTGGAAGTACCATTCCTATATAATCTCCATAACCATTAATACCGCAGCATTGATACTGTAAATAAAAGCAATAAGTATATTAGCTATGATGAAGTTTACAAAGAATAAGGATTATTACTTTTTCTTGGTATTCGACCATCGCATCTTTTCCATTCTTCTGCTGTTCAAAAGCTAATTTTAGAATTTCTTCGGGAGGTGTTTTCTTCTCATGATGCATTTTGGAGACAGTCATCAAGGCGATCATTGCAATCAAAAGGACCAACTGACTAATGGCATACTGAAAGGAAGGAGTTCATTCTATTATCATTAAAGTTAAGAATGAATAGCTTAACCAACCACCCAAGTGGTGCAAATGTGGCCCTTCAGAGCACCGACAAAGCCGACGAGGCAAACTAGGATTGTTGCCCCTCCCAAGACCAAAAATCCATAACTAAATGGTTTTTCTTCTTTGCTAGTTTCCGGTAGATCAGTTACATTAATTACAATTACAGCAACAGCCAGAAACTAAAAGTAAAGTTTGCAATAAAAGTTAAAGTTAATAATAAAGTTAACAGTGTTAATAATGAACAGTTTTCTGTGATTCACATGTAAAATATTTGGTCTGAACTACAAGACGAATAATTTTAGTCATTATAGTTTACTTAATAAAACGTTTAAAAACCACATGTTAAACCTTTTTGGCTTATATTGCATTAGTTTTTTATATTTTTTTCGACTAAACCTGTACTTACCACGCTCAGTATATTGAAAACTAGGGCTAGACTCCTGATCGAAACCATATCAGAGTATTCAATAGAGTATTCCCCGATGCGTACCCAATATCAGTCTTTGCTATTAATTCCGGTATCGGTGATTACTCGTTGCAAGTCGTAACTATACTAAATATCTGAACAAATACGAGTAGCGTTTACACTTCGTCTGTGTTTTCCTAAGAGTCCCAGACGTGAATTCAGAGTATTGACTACAGAGTCAAGCCCTGCGAGTAAGTTACTTTGGAGACTCTCTCCACAGTCGTATCATTTAACTAAGCACATATAACCCTGAAAATATCGGGTGCCTGCCCCATATCTGATAAGATTAAAACTACTCACCGGGTTGACGCTTGGGAAATGCTTTAGGGTGGACAACATTTTTTAAAAATATATTATTAGAGGTCGCAAAAAATACTATGGTGATGTTCAAAATATTATACTTTAATTGTAAGCTCAAAAATCTAGTTACCAAAGAAAGTTTACATTAATTTTGACTATTTTTGCGACTAACCCTTTATGACGATTAAAATCTAACCTTTCCACCCCAAAACAATCTTTTGCCTCGCAAATTTCTATGCTCGAGTGCTTATCAAATATTATAGTATTTGTTTAATTAAATGAAGCAACTGATGGAACTCTCTCACCGGTGAGAGTCCTGTTATCGTGGTCTTATCAGCTAAGTTTGGTAGCTCTAAGCCAGAATGGGCTGTGGCGTTCTGTTTTTTTGGACTCCCAGTTTAGTTGATTTCCGATTGCAAGCGAAACGAATACTTGGTGAGAAAACTTTGGCCGAAAAATGAGCTGCGGCACAAAGACCCTGAAGGTGTCCTCCTTCATTTTAGACTTTCTCTGTTGTGTGAGTTATTATCACTTAATCCGAATAGATAAAGGCAACCTACTCATCACCCACTGGCTATCTTTTCCACAGGTTTTGGCGGCCCTGACTATAGCCGCCTGTTCCTATGCCCTGATCGCCTTTAGTCACAGCCTTGCTATCCGGGTGCCGTGCATCTTGGGCATAGTCCTGGGCTCCTTGCTCTTCTGCAGCACTATATTCGGCTGCATCGCTGCCCTCAGGGAGAGTATCCGGATGACTTGGATCGTAAGTAATGAGACAGGATTTTTTTTTAAAATAGAAAAACCATTTTTCAATCACCCAAATTTAGTTTGCTGCTATAGTCTTGGCCCTAATCTGTGGACAAATCACTGTGATATTCGCGCAGCCAATCAATTTCAAATTGCTGGCCAATGAAACGATATATAACGCTTGGCAGGGACAAATCTTTCACCAGGGAAGCATGCCCTATTATGAAATAAAAGTAAGTTATACTTTTGATTACATTTTAATCAAAAACCAAAATATTTTTTATGACAAAATTAATTGCCAAAATGTTAGCATAGTGTATTAAGTTTAATTACCAATTTTTTATTTTTAAAATTTTATGACAATTTTTTTTTTTAGTACCATTGCTGTGGACAGACTGGTCCATCAAACTATCCAGACAGCGGCTTAAAAATTCCCCAGAGTTGCTACTTTAATCAGAACGCGACGGTTAGCACGGACCTTTATACAGTAGGATGCAACCAGAAACTGGGGGAAGCCTTCATCAAGGGCACTCGCTGGGAGCGCATCAGCGACTGGTCCGTGGTTGGTGTGGAGGTAAGCAAATTTCCTATATCAGATTACTCTTCTATATCTTTCTATCCGTTAGATACTTACCGTCATTGTGGCTGGACTTCTGGCTATAACTTTACAGAACGCAGAGCGCCGCAGACTGTACCGTTAAAAATCTATCTATAGGATATGTAAGCAGTATTAGATACTGTACAAAAATAATTGTAATAAGAGAATATGTTACTAAATGACTGATCAGTTTTATTAATATCGGTTCATAATTTTGAATCTAATGATGTATCGCGCCCAAAATCGATAACTAATTTTTAAAAGTTCCCTACCAATGTTATCGGCTCACTGGAACTGGTTCATCGAACTAGGCAGAGTTGAGCAGTTGGCTTGAAACGGCTGACCGACAATATATATTTAACTTTTAAAAGAAAATATTTATTTCACCTTGATTTCAACGTTTAAAACTGCTGATTCTAAATGAAAGCTAAGCTCAAGCTAGTTTTTAAAGGCTAGTATTAGAACTATGGACTCTGGGAACTTTTTAAAGAGAAACTTTTGCCAGAACTAGCTAAAGAATGGCTGAATAGCCAACACTGCCGTGAACAGCCGCTGAACTGAAATGTGAAAGCGAAAAGAATGAATTTCTGGTGGAAGTATTTGCACAATTGCTGAGTAAACGAAGGCCCACAGAACAAGCGACATGTATTCATAAGCGCCGCCGCAGAGTCTGCGAATTGGAACGCGTACGCGGGTCGTATTTTAAGCCGTGGTCGCGCCGTAGAGCCGCACTTGCCGCGAGTCGTCCGATTGGATTGGCCGACAGCGTTGGGGCAACAACAACGGCTTGATTAGTTGGCAGTGGACAGAGCTGGCGATCGCATCGATCGGTTAATCACCTCCTCCAGTACCAGCACCAATACCCGCCCTGCGCATCTTCTAGAGAAATCCCACCAGTCCGAGGAGTCATCATTCATCATGGGCCTGCGATTCCAGCAGCTGAAGAAGCTCTGGCTGCTCTACCTGTTCCTGCTCTTCTTTGCGTTCTTCATGTTCGCCATCAGCATCAATCTCTACGTGGCCAGCATCCAGAGCTCCGAATCCGAGCTACGGTGAGTAGAAAGAGCCCTTGCTGTGGCCGTCCATGTACCTCTGGAGTTGCACAACTTCCGCGGAGGTGCTTGTTGCAACCGTTTTGGAGTTCCAGTCGAGTGCCTCGCCTCCGCATTTTTTGCTTGCCAAGTGTTTTGCATTTTATTTGGATTTCTGTTTTTGTTTTCGCGTTTGTTTATATGCCATCTAATGGGAGACTAAATGGGTATATTAAATTTGTGATAAACTGGGTTATACTTTCGTTTAGTTCCTCCGTCTATTTCCTCATGAAACTGTGGTATTCTATTACCATTAAAGGGTTGCATCCTACAAACCTATATTATTTTGTTTTTATTTTATAAATAATGAGAAAATCCCAACTTATGGTGAAATGGCGCAGTTTATCATAAAGCCAAGTCCTACGTTCCTTTTGAAGCCAGTCCTATAAATGGACCTAAAAAAAACTCGTTATGGGGATATGTATATAAAATCAGACTGATTATGGAAGGGGTATCCATAGTCGGGTCAGTAGTCTTAGCCCGGTCGCTCTTGTTTGTCTTGCCATGGCTTGATGGCCATTTAAAACGCTAAATTTTAATACCATTGTCACATCTCTTCAACTCTTTTTACTACCTTGGATTGGATGGGATTGTTTTGGACTGCGACCGTTTCTTGCACAGTCATCCCAAGCCGCCACCCAAGCGCCGCTCCCTCTGGCCGCATAAAAACATCGTAGCCCACTATATCGGACGGGGCGACATCTTCGGCAACATGACTGCAGGTAAGTGGTGGTGGAATCGTAGGAAATGACAACACTCCGTTCACAGCCAAAAGCGCATCAATCCGCTCGTTGCAGACGATTACAACATTAACCTGTTCCAGCCCGTGCAGGGCGAGGGGGCTGAAGGGCGGCCTGTTGTGGTGCCGCCGCGCGATCGCTTTCGCATGCAACGCTTCTTCCGGCTGAACAGTTTCAATCTGCTGGCCAGCGATCGCATCCCACTGAATCGAACCCTGAAGGACTACCGCACGCCAGAGTAAGTGTATCTGAAGAGTCTCCTGTTTGCATCCATTGATGTTATCCCTTTTTCAGATGCCGAGACAAGAAGTACACCGGGAGTCTTCCCCACACGTCCGTGATTATCGTCTTTCACAACGAAGCCTGGTCCGTGCTCCTGCGCACCATCACCAGCGTAATCAACCGCTCACCGCGCCACCTGCTTAAGGAAATCATTCTTGTCGACGATGCCAGTGACCGAAGTACAAATATTTCAAAACCTTGTTTAAAAATGTCTATTAAATTATTATTTCTTTAAAAGCCTATCTGAAACGACAGCTGGAAAGCTACGTAAAGGTCCTATCGGTGCCCACGAAGATCTACCGCATGAAAAAGCGAAGTGGACTTGTCCCTGCCCGTCTGCTGGGAGCGGAGCACGCTCGCGGTGATGTACTGACTTTCCTGGACGCGCACTGCGAGTGCTCCAGGGGATGGCTGGAGCCACTGCTGGCTCGCATCAAAGAATCCCGCAAAGTAGTCATTTGCCCCGTAATCGACATCATTTCCGACGACAACTTCAGCTACACGAAGACCTTTGAGAATCACTGGGGCGCCTTCAACTGGCAGCTGAGCTTCCGGTGGTTCTCCTCGGATCGCAAGCGGCAGACAGCCGTAAGCGGCTCGAAGGACAGCACCGCTCCGATAGCCACTCCGGGAATGGCTGGCGGCCTGTTCTCCATTGACCGAGAGTACTTCTACGAGATGGGATCCTACGACAGCAACATGCGCGTTTGGGGCGGCGAGAACGTAGAGATGTCTTTCCGGATTTGGCAATGTGGCGGACGCGTGGAGATCAGTCCTTGCTCCCATGTGGGCCACGTATTTCGCAGCAGCACACCGTACACGTTCCCCGGCGGCATGAGCGAGGTGCTAACAGACAATCTGGCCAGAGCGGCCACCGTGTGGATGGATGATTGGCAGTACTTTGTGATGCTCTACACCTCGGGCCTGACGCTGGGCGCCAAGGACAAGGTGAACGTAACGGAACGCATAGCCCTGCGGGAAAAGCTCCAGTGCAAACCGTTTTCGTGGTATCTTGAGAATATCTGGCCGGAGCACTTTTTCCCGGCGCCTGATCGCTTCTTCGGTAAAATCATCTGGCTGGACGGGGAGACAGAGTGCGCCCAGGCGTACAGCAAGCATATGAAGAGCCTACCAGGGCGCGCCCTGTCTCGTGAGTGGAAACGGGCCTTCGAGGAGATCGAGAGCCAGTCGGAGCAGTTGCTAGCCTTAATTGACCTGGAAAGGGACAAGTGCCTCCGACCGCAGAAGCAGGACGTGCCACGCTCCTCATTGTCACCCGTGACCGTGGGCGACTGCACCTCGCACGCCCAGAGCATGGACATGTTTGTGATCACGCCCAAAGGCCAAATCATGACCAACGACAACGTTTGCCTTACCTACCGCCAGCCAAAGCTGGGCGTGATCAAGATGCTGAAGAACCGCAATGCCACCACCTCGAACGTTATGCTTACCCAATGTGCCAGCGACTCTAGCCAGCTGTGGACCTATGACATGGACGTAAGTAGTTAACCCATTGAGATAACCAAAGAGTCTATAGAATATCCTCCTACAGACCCAGCAGATCTCGCACCAGGATACGAAGCTCTGCCTTACTCTTAAATCTGCGACAAATGCTCGCCTTCAGAAGGTAGAAAAGGTGGTGCTCAGCATGGAGTGCAACTTCCAGGACATCACCCAGAAGTGGGGCCTAATTCCGCTGCCATGGCGTATGTAGAGGAGAAGTGCCAGGACCCTGCCAGGAAGTCTTCAACCCAATGTGATATTTATTGAAATTGTTTAAAAAGCGCCACCCTATGCCGACTTGTTTATTTAAACAACTGAGCAAATCACACAAACCCAACACTAATGTTCAACTCCCTAACGAACCCGGAACAGACCCACAAGAATTGTTTTAAAAACACACAAAAAAGTGCTCAGCCAGGAGCTTTTCTCCCGGCGGGCACTGCGACTCGATAGTAGTAGATCAGTGCTATGTCTATGTCATATTTATTAAGCAATCTTAGGAAATTTTAGCTGTAGTACTACAGTACTTACCACCCTAACACCCCACCCCCACACATACACACACCCTCTTTTATATCACTTGAATAAAACAATCGTATATATAAATATGTAAACGTGGTTGCACTGTGCTCTGTGGCGGCTTATCGTTGGCCCCAGCAAAAGGTCGCAATGCAATTGGTTTTAAATTTTCGCATCTGCCCAGATTGTGCAGTATTCCCGCGATGAACGGTTGCTACAACACCATTAGGTACACGGGTCTGATGTCCAACCTGCTCTACATGGTGAGGCCCTGAATTTATGTATCTTTTAGGCTAACCCCTTCTGTTTCAGCTCCTGGGCATAGGCGTTATGTCTGGAGCAGGGCTAGGACTGCAGGCGGCGGAGCCCAACACCCCGGAGCACACGTACTTCGTGAAGAGCCTGGTACTGGGTGGCACTATTTGCATGATAGTCATGTTTGGCTGCTATGGAATGGTCAGCAACCTGCTGTGTGTGAACCTACTCGTAAGCTCGAATGAAAATATATAAATCTATTCTGAATATAGACGTAGATCTCTTTCAGTTCACGCTATTCATATTGCTGGCTTTGGCGGCGGAGTACCTGCAAATGCATCACTACCATAATCCCGCCCTTAGGAATCCAGGAGGCGGAGCCTGGCAGCAGCTAGAGCTGGCCTGGCACGGCCTGGACAGACCCCAGGAGGCGACGCAGAAGTGCTGTGACCAGGACGGTGCCGAAGCCGACTACAGACGCTTGCATTTGCTGGTACCCGAGAGCTGTTATCAGGCCACGGCCAATGACACCGCGGAGCACACGTATCCGCACGACTGCCTGCAAAAGCTGGACAAAAGCCGACGCTACATACATCAGCGCGATAAGCTCTACATGTGGGCCATCGTTGGCCTTGAGGTGGGCAGTTGACTCGGATGCAGTAGATCAATACAGCCACTACATTCTTTACCCTCCCTAGGTCATTATACTGATGCAGACGGCCGTGCTCAGCGTGCTGCTCTTTCGAACTCGCCAGCGCCAGCGTCTGGCCAGGCGGCAGGTGCCACCAGGTGTGCGTCGGGAGCCCCGCTCCAACCACGTTACTGGTTCTCGGGCCCAGCTGCTGCACGAAGTTTGATCTTAGATGGTATCAAGACGATTGTTTATTGAGTAACCAAGTGGCAAATGCATGTAGAAACTTAGTAGGTATAGCGGCGAGTCTTACTGGTGAGCTGGCAGCACAAGGTAATGCCCAAGATAATGCCCACAACCTGTAAGGAAAGGAGAATATATAGTTAAAGATTGAGGATTTATTTGTAAAACTATAAATTCTTTGATCTGAGTTAAGATAAATGTGTATATGTATAAGGGAACCGTTTCCTCCATTCCGACATTAAATTATATATATTCTTGATAAGCACTAACAGCCGGTTCGATCTCTATCTCTGAGATACTAAAAGATATAGAGCTATGGTAATTCCCTCTGTGTGTTGCCCACGCAAATCAAATTTGTTTAATAATACTTTCTATGATTTCTATCGATACCAGTTGGCATTATAGAATAAGTACTTACCTCGTATCCAATGAGTCCGCAGTGCGCCCACTTCTCGTATCGATATATCTGCAGATATGCCCGCTTCACGGCTGCCATACATCCTTCGGCGTAGGGATGGAAGGCGTGAATGCCATCCTTGGTGTGAAAACAGCTGCGAGGCACCTTCATGTTCAGACTAGTGTAATCGGAGAAGCCCTTGTCGCCACAACACTCGTACTGAAAGGTGGTTTAAGTCAAGTCAAAGGAATGGAAAGGAAATCTTGACATCTTGATCCCACCTCTTGCTGCAGGTGCTGCATGGCGCCGTGATGCACCAGCTCCTTCATCCAGAGATCCATCACAAACACCTCGGTGGCGTCCAGTTGCTTCGATTCGTTGTAGTGGGACAGCTTCCAGATGTGCGCGCCAATCAGGGCGAGGAGCACTACCAGGTGCTAAAACTTGTGGCAATTAAAGTTACGGAAATTCACCAACTGGCCAAGCCACAACTACTCACCACCACCATGACCTTGATGGAGCCAAGGAAGGCCCCCATGCAGCCTATAAGAGCGGCCAGGATCAGGGCACCGGCCATGCCCAGCTGGATGAACTTCTCCAGGTGCTCGGTGGAGCCCTCGTCAAACTTCTGCCACTCGTAGAATCCGGCCAGGGCGGCCCCGATGCCAACGGCCTGGATCGCAATTGAAAATATGAATTATGACAGCGCACACTGAGCATTTGTTAATGGGCCATAAAATGGGCAAACAAAATCTTCAGAGACAAAAGTTCGATTCGTGGGCGACGTCATCGGCCGTCGCGGCAACCAAAATAAAAACAAAACGGGCATAAAAATAAATTGAATTACTTTGGGCTTTATTTTTAAACGGCACATACACAGTTTCCTTTCTTGTGGCTGTCGCCAAAAATTCGCCATCGCCTTCAACAGAACACTGAGGAATAACGAGACCCAAGTGACATCTTGTCTGGTAGAAATGGAAACTTTGAATGGGATTTGTTTTCTGCCAAATTGGCCATCTAACTGACTGTATAAACAGCAACCAGACCCGAAGAAAAAGTATTACATTAGACAATGAAAAATGCCACAAAAATGTAAGAAATTTAATGATCTTGCTGTGACAGGCTGCCAGTAAAATAAATGTCAGATGAGATTCCATGGACAACTGTGTGTTCATTAGTCATAAGCACTGTGACTCAAGATGTGCAGTTGCAACGGATTGTTTTCCCGAATTATCTTCAGAGAATCGACCTTTTACTCTCAGTATGACTCTTGTGGAAAATTTAGGGCTGATATTACGCATACGCCATGGGGTCACCACTAAAGGAAATCTTACCAGTGTGATTGTATTGAAAACAATCGATGTCCATTGCAGGCACACGCGTACTGTGGGCATATTGGGATCTCAGAATATTTGTGTCACTTGTATAATATGAAACACTCGTGCGAAAAAGGGGTTCCAGGCGAGAATCACGAGTTTCCCGGGAAAATGCGCCACTACACTCCGGCGGCAGTGCGTCGCTCGTTGAGAATGACCAAACACTAAACTTAAGCAAAATAAAGCGATCGCCGAAAAAAAGCAAAATGTTTACAAATCCGATGAGTGGCTGTCCGCGGCCCGCCGTATCCGTCCGTATCCGTGTCCGTGTCCGTCTCGGTCTCCGTGTCGGTGTTTTGTGTGCCGGTCGTTACTCAAGAGACCGGCGTTCACCCGTTCTCATCGGTGTGCTTCCATCGCATAATTTCGTATATTTTTATATGCGTCTTTATAGGCAGACACCCCATATATCTACTTAGCAGCTTTGCTGATATTCCTCACCGAGTGGCCAGAAACAAAACACTTTCAATATTTTCACTATGGTTTATTTTGTATTCGAACTATGCTGCCTCCAGATCATCCGAATTTGCTATAAAAATATTATAGATTTTGGTCCAATCCGGCTGATTCCGGGGTCTCCAATCGCCTCATCGGGCGACCTGTTAGAATCTCTCGCGCCTCAATTTGTTTCGCACCGTGATGCCCAGATGCGTGGCGGCTCCCATCGCGGCGAACTGTGCGTGATAGTGGGGAATTCGATTAGCTTACTCTGTCATATATCTGGAGTCTATTTCTGACACGGCCTTGGCGGCCTAAGCCCTCAGAAATGAGTGATCGAGGCCCTCAATTACATACCTCAACCAGCAGCAACAGCCACTTGATTATAAGTCCGATGGCCACGTTATCGGTGGCATGAGCCTGCACCGCCTGTAGGCATCCTTCCTGAAAGAGATAGTCCTGGTGCCTCTCCAAGTCCTTGTAGCAGTTGAGGGGGATTGCCCTGCCCAGCAGGATGTAGTCATGAGCGCCCAACTGTCCACAGCAGGAGTACTAAAAGAAATAAAGGTATGAGGCATTTTATACTAAAATTTAAATGATAAATCTCCTTAATCCCCTACCTTTTGCTCAATGTAGGATATGCGGTCTTCATGTGCCTTTTGATCGGCCCAGAGCCCGAGGAAATCCCTCTTGGAGCGCTCCACGTAGTCTGTGGAGTGGGCTGCGGCTATTATATAGATCTGAAGGCACAACAGGATCAGCAGACACATCACATACTAAAAGAAAACAAAAAGCTATAACCAGAATACGGGTAATCGAGCAGCACTTACGCTCCATATAAGTCCAATTGAGATCCGTGCCGTGGCAAAGCAGCCCAAAAACGAGGTCAGCACTACAAAGGTGCCAACAAAGATCTGGACAACAATGGCGATGTGTTCGAAGGTGCCCGGCGTGGAGCTATTCAGTTCGTATATTGAAAGGGCAATCAAAGTCACGCCAATCAGCTGTCAATAAAATTGCATTGATTAAAGCCAAAGGAGTGCCCCAAAATGGTATCACGCATACGCACCGAAAGCAGAATATTGAGTATTATTAGAATGGCTTTAAGGAAGGATGTGTGGCAGGCCATGTTGCCAATCAATAATCCCTATATTTAAGAACTGCGTTATCCTCGTCCTCGCCACTTTATTCTCGCTGCGCAGTTAACCCGTTGTGGTGGCCAAATGGAGAGTTAATACCTCAATGAATGCCAGTGCTATTGCCATAAAAGTTGACGTGCGACTGAGCGCGACGCTTTCTTTTTGAATTTGTGGCGCCCCCCTAAGAGCGCCAGTTGGTGGATTCCGGCGCCACTCGACAGAAAGAAATCAACAATTCCCCGGCTATTCGTACTACTACACTGGACGAAATTGCCAGGGGTTTACACTGTAATGTCTGTACAAAATTATATGCAGTCCCACCATAGAAAAAAATTACATTTAATATAAAAAATAAATGCCATTTATTAAACAGTAATGTTACAAATTGTAAAGATTTTTGGCAAGACATAGAAACCAAGAATTGTAGCACTGAGCTAATATTTTTAATAATAAGTAATGAATTCAGTTGAGATCAAAATTAAGAAGAATGTATGTTGTTGTATAAGGCAAGCTTTTTGCTTCGAGTGTATTCGTATCAATGTATGTTGTGGGTGGTATGATGTCAGAACAGCACGAAAGCTCTCTTCGCATTTCAGTTTATTAGAAATGTGGTATGGAGGGGGAGACAACAAACATTGGTATAATACAAAAGCTTTCATTCATAAACTATATTCTGGTATAGGACATGAAAGGACATCTACCAGAATCGACATTCCCACCTTCAAGAAACGAGCAACAAGCTGGGTCCCTACGGCGTATGCGTAATATTTTAAACTGGCATAACAAGGACTTGAAATAATGCCAAGCATTCACATTTGTGTTCAATTTTCTTTATAATTAATATTTTAATTTTATAAAAGAGATTCTCAAATAGTAATGGGTATTATAAAGTCGATAACAATGACAAATTTCTTCTTTCTTTCATAAATTAGATGTCAATTAGAAACATATTAAATTTTGCCATACATTCCAACCAAAGAGATGATCAACAAGCTCGACATTGGAGTCTTATTTTTAAGAGGCATAATAAATGAGGAAATTTATTAACAATGATTTCATATAGTAATATTATTTTAATATTGGCAGCTGCGCGTTTTTTCCAAAAAACATATGTAAGGTAGACTGCCAGCCCAAAGTAAATAACCTGAAATGCAAAATATTTTAACTCTTTTACCAACAGTTCTTCGAGTCAATACGTACCTGAATCCCAACGAAAACCAAAGCTTGAATGATCAATTCTTGATTCTCATATTCTGAGTCCTCATTTTCCTCGCCGGTAAACCATTTCGGCATATTTCCACAGTCGATAATTTCCATAACTAGTGGAATAAAATATATCGTGGCGAACTAGAAATAAAAGAAGTTAGTATATTTAATGGCTAGTAAAAGGGCCTCACCAATCCGCATATGATCCACGATTCCCGGAGAGCTCCATAGATGTTCAGCGGAGGAAATACCAGAAGGAAAGCAAAAAAGAGTATTATTCCCACCTTAAACTCATTCTGAATGGAATAGATCAAGCCGTATAATATGAAAAGCTGAAAGGGAGATTAAAAAAAATTAACAATTAAAAGAATTTATTCTGGAGTGAAATTATGTACATATATATAAAGGCTTAAAGTGATGTCACTTATGTGGCTGAAAAAGAGCGCGCCCAGAGTGTCTCCTCATCCAAGCGGACTTATAAAAACCACACGCACACATATGCCAATAAATTAAGTTTTTTATTCCAAAAAGTACATAGAGAGAAAACAAATATATGTATTTGTATGGCGTCACTTGACCACTAAGTACTAGAGTCTAAGCCCAGACTTATTATTTGTAAGTCATTGTAACTTACGGCGAAAATGCAGCTCAGAGTGATGAAGGAGATCTTGATGACTTTGTTGGTACAACCCATAATTGTTAATTATCCGCAATGTTTTGATATATTTTATATATTTTTCCTTTGATTATGATTTTCAACAGAGCTAACTTTTAGGTGTGGCACTCTCTGCGTCCTCATAAGAACTGATTCCATTCAAAAAAATTAAAAGAAACAAGAAAATGTGAAGTCGCACAAAGCCGATGTATAAATACCCCTGAAAATAATAATTAAAGAAATACTCAGAAAGAGAACAGATCACATAGAACTATAATGAATCAATTGTTAAAACTTGTCAAGAATGCCCAAACTTTTAGATCTGGAGATGTCAACTTTAATACGTGGTTAGCCTCATGGGAAAATCTAATGTACCTTCTGAATTGTACAAAGTGTATAGTGATACAGCTGATGGCACATTCTCTGCCCATTTTTTCGCAACATTTTCTCCACACGTATATATATACATATATATTATTCGCAGTTTTCGCAATAGAATTTGTTTAGGTTTCTGTTTTTGCTACCATTTTGCTCAAGATTTCTGCTTCTCATTCTGCTTATATTTTCAAACGAAACTTGAAAGAAAGGCCAGCAATAGGGAAAGTATTCTTATTATTTGAATTTTGGCATGAAATATGTGCAGCAGATTCCAGAAAAAACAACGCTTAGTTTTCTCTTTGATAACCTTTTCCCACATTATTCAAATCTACAAACAAGTATCAGTGACATTAGGAACCATTTTTTTAACTCTCCCAAAAAAATGACAAAAAATCGAATATTTGGCTTGTATGATTCGACGTAGAATGATGGAGAAATGATGTACAAATCGATAAAGGTACTCCGCTTAAAAATCGGATACAAATTGGCTAAGATATAGCCTTTTCCGTTCGGCATATAGGCCCCCTCATGCATTTTCCAATTTTTGAGGGGACACCACAGAAAATTTGACAAAAAATTGAAAAAAATTTGTTCTTAGGTTTTGAAGCAGATTGATGAAGAATTGATCTACAAATCGATTAAGGTATTCCACTTAAGGATCGGATACAAATTGGCAAAGATATAGCCTTTTCCGTGCGGCATATAGGCCCCCTGATGCATTTCCCAATTTTTGAGGGGACACCCCAGAAAATTTGACAAAAAATTGAAAAAATAATTTGTTCTTAGGTTTTGATGCAGATTGATGACGAATTGACCTACAAAACGATCAAGGTACTCCGCTTAAGGATCGGATACAAATTGGCAAAGATATAGCCTTTTCCGTGCGGCGTATAGGCCCCCTCATGCATTTCCCAATTTTTGAGGGGACACCCCAGAAAATTTGACAAAAAATTGAAAAAATAATTTTTTCTTAGGTTTTGAAGCAGATTGATGAAGAAACAATCTACAAATCGATTAAGGTACTCCGCTTAAGGATCGGATACAAATTGGCAAAGATATAGCCTTTTCCGTGCGGCATACAGGCCCCCTCATGCATTTTCCAACTTTTGAAGGGGACACCCCAGAAAATTTGACAAAAAATTGAAAAAATAATTTGTTCTTAGGTTTTGATGCAGATTGATGAAGAATTAATCTACAAATCGATTAAGGTACTCCGCTTAAGGATCGGATACAAATTGGCAAAGATATAGCCTTTTCCGTGCGGCATGTAGGCCCCCTCATGCATTTCCCAATTTTTGAGGGGACACCCCAGACAATTTGACAAAAAATTGAAAAAATAATTTGTTCTTAGGTTTTGAAGCAGATTGATAAAGAATTGATCTACAAATCGATTAAGGTATTCCACTTAAGGATCGGATACAAATTGGCAAAGATATAGCCTTTTCCGTTCGGCATACAGGCCCCCTCATGCATTTTCCAACTTTTGAAGGGGACACCCCAGACAATTTGACAAAAAATTGAAAAAATAATTTGTTCTTAGGTTTTGAAGCAGATTGATGAAGAATTAATCTACAAAACGATTAAGGTACTCCGCTTAAGGATCGGATACAAATTGGCAAAGATATAGCCTTTTCCGTTCGGCATATAGGCCCCCTCATGCATTTCCCAATTTTTGAGGGGACACCACAGAAAATTTGACAAAAAATTGAAAAAATAATTTTTCTTAGGTTTTGAAGCAGATTGATGAAGAATTAATCTACAAATCGATTAAGGTACTCCGCTTAAGGATCGGATACAAATTGGCAAAGATATAGCCTTTTCCGTGCGGCATGTAGGCCCCCTCATGCATTTCCCTATTTTTAAAGGGAACACCCCAGAAAATTTGACAAAAAATTGAAAAAATAATTTGTTCTTAGATTTTGAAGCAGATTGATAAAGAATTGATCTAAAAATCGATTAAAGTATTCCACTTAAGGATCGGATACAAATTGGCAAAGATATAGCCTTTTCCGTGCGGCATACAGGCCCCCTCATGCATTTTCCAACTTTTGAAGGGGACACCCCAGAAAATTTGACAAAAAATTGAAAAAATAATTTGTTCTTAGGTTTTGATGCAGATTGATGACGAATTGACCTACAAAACGATTAAGGTATTCCACTTAAGGATCGGATACAAATTGGCAAAGATATAGCCTTTTCCGTGCGGCATACAGGCCCCCTCATGCATTTTCCAACTTTTGAAGGGGACACCCCAGACAATTTGACAAAAAATTGAAAAAATAATTTGTTCTTAGGTTTTGAAGCAGATTGATAAAGAATTGATCTACAAATCGATTAAGGTATTCCACTTAAGGATCGGATACAAATTGGCAAAGATATAGCCTTTTCCGTGCGGCATACAGGCCCCCTCATGCATTTTCCAACTTTTGAAGGGGACACCCCAGACAATTTGACAAAAATTGAAAAAATAATTTGTTCTTAGGTTTTGAAGCAGATTGATGAAGAATTAATCTACAAAACGATTAAGGTACTCCGCTTAAGGATCGGATACAAATTGGCAAAGATATAGCCTTTTCCGTTCGGCATATAGGCCCCCTCATGCATTTCCCAATTTTTGAGGGGACACCACAGAAAATTTGACAAAAAATTGAAAAAATAATTTTTTCTTAGGTTTTGAAGCAGATTGATGAAGAATTAATCTACAAATCGATTAAGGTACTCCGCTTAAGGATCGGATACAAATTGGCAAAGATATAGCCTTTTCCGTGCGGCATGTAGGCCCCCTCATGCATTTCCCTATTTTTAAAGGGAACACCCCAGAAAATTTGACAAAAAATTGAAAAAATAATTTGTTCTTAGATTTTGAAGCAGATTGATAAAGAATTGATCTACAAATCGATTAAAGTATTCCACTTAAGGATCGGATACAAATTGGCAAAGATATAGCCTTTTCCGTGCGGCATACAGGCCCCCTCATGCATTTTCCAACTTTTGAAGGGGACACCCCAGAAAATTTGACAAAAAATTGAAAAAATAATTTGTTCTTAGGTTTTGATGCAGATTGATGACGAATTGACCTACAAAACGATCAAGGTACTCCGCTTAAGGATCGGATACAAATTGGCAAAGATATAGCCTTTTCCGTGCGGCGTATAGGCCCCCTCATGCATTTTCCAACTTTTGAAGGGGACACCCCAGACAATTTGACAAAAAATTGAAAAAATAATTTGTTCTTAGGTTTTGAAGCAGATTGATAAAGAATTGATCTACAAATCGATTAAGGTATTCCACTTAAGGATCGGATACAAATTGGCAAAGATATAGCCTTTTCCGTTCGGCATACAGGCCCCCTCATGCATTTTCCAACTTTTGAAGGGGACACCCCAGACAATTTGACAAAAAATTGAAAAAATAATTTGTTCTTAGGTTTTGAAGCAGATTGATGAAGAATTAATCTACAAAACGATTAAGGTACTCCGCTTAAGGATCGGATACAAATTGGCAAAGATATAGCCTTTTCCGTTCGGCATATAGGCCCCCTCATGCATTTCCCAATTTTTGAGGGGACACCACAGAAAATTTGACAAAAAATTGAAAAAATAATTTTTTCTTAGGTTTTGAAGCAGATTGATGAAGAATTAATCTACAAATCGATTAAGGTACTCCGCTTAAGGATCGGATACAAATTGGCAAAGATATAGCCTTTTCCGTGCGGCATGTAGGCCCCCTCATGCATTTCCCTATTTTTAAAGGGAACACCCCAGAAAATTTGACAAAAAATTGAAAAAATAATTTGTTCTTAGATTTTGAAGCAGATTGATAAAGAATTGATCTAAAAATCGATTAAAGTATTCCACTTAAGGATCGGATACAAATTGGCAAAGATATAGCCTTTTCCGTGCGGCATACAGGCCCCCTCATGCATTTTCCAACTTTTGAAGGGGACACCCCAGAAAATTTGACAAAAATTGAAAAAATAATTTGTTCTTAGGTTTTGATGCAGATTGATGACGAATTGACCTACAAAACGATTAAGGTATTCCACTTAAGGATCGGATACAAATTGGCAAAGATATAGCCTTTTCCGTGCGGCATACAGGCCCCCTCATGCATTTTCCAACTTTTGAAGGGGACACCCCAGACAATTTGACAAAAATTGAAAAAATAATTTGTTCTTAGGTTTTGAAGCAGATTGATAAAGAATTGATCTACAAATCGATTAAGGTATTCCACTTAAGGATCGGATACAAATTGGCAAAGATATAGCCTTTTCCGTGCGGCATACAGGCCCCCTCATGCATTTTCCAACTTTTGAAGGGGACACCCCAGACAATTTGACAAAAAATTGAAAAAATAATTTGTTCTTAGGTTTTGAAGCAGATTGATGAAGAATTAATCTACAAAACGATTAAGGTACTCCGCTTAAGGATCGGATACAAATTGGCAAAGATATAGCCTTTTCCGTTCGGCATATAGGCCCCCTCATGCATTTCCCAATTTTTGAGGGGACACTCCAGAAAATTTGACAAAAAATTGAAAAAATAATTTTTTCTTAGGTTTTGAAGCAGATTGATGAAGAATTGATCTAGGTTCTCCGCTAAAGGATCGGGTAAAAATTGGTATAGATATAGCCTTTGGCGTGTGTCATATTGTCCCTCCCATGGCTTCTCCAATTGTGAAGGGGACTCTCCAGAAAATGTATAAAAAAAATAGTATGAACCAAGTATCTGTTAATTTCCCTTACACAATCCACCATTATGTAATCATAAAACAAATTAAAATAACTTAAGAATACAATATTCTTGTATTCTTATTAACAATCTTTGAGTTTTTTAAATTTAGTAGTATTTTTGTATTCGCCTTATATGTATGTAAATCTTTTGCAAACATTTCGTGGGTTATTGGGCTTTTAAATGGGGTTGACCGTATAATCGCGTCCAACTTTTGTCTTTTTAGCATCCTTTTTACCAAAAGAACGCGCCAAAATGATGGCCAGGACGAAGCTATGTAACTGAAATACAAGTTTAAATCTTCTTATCAAGCACTTTCAACTTTAAATGTTAATACCTACCACAAAAACAACCAAAATCCCGCCGAGTCCCATCAGAGTTAGCCTGGTACTCTCAATTTTGTTGCGACATCCATCCTTGAAAGGATCCCCTGGATTGGTAACACAACTTCTTGGGGCATTTGGACTGTTTAGCCAACAGCAGTTGTGTTCTTTGTAGAATGATTCTACAAACTCCTCTGTTATTTTACCGGCTGCAAAACTATTTGATATTTGGTTGATCCCGAAAATTTGTAGAACAAATGGAAATAGAAGGAATATTGCGCTCTAAGAATTAAGGATTAGTTAAGAATCAATACCGCCTGAACCGCTGTACTCTTACCAATGTGCAAAGAATCACTGACTCTCGGACGGCTGCACTGATATTTAGGAGGGAAAAAAATAAGATGATTGATCCCGAGAGATAGTTTACTCCTTGGACCGGAATCATATTAGCACAACAGATCAAGTAGACCGCAGCCAAGAGCTAAAATTAAGAAAAGTTTAAATAGAATACATATTCATATTCGGTAAAATATGCTTTAGTTCGAAAAATATGGCTCTTACACACATATATTCGGCATTTTCATAATTTGAACATATTTCAGCAAAGGAATTTGACTTGAAGTATTATGTTGTCCTAGTATAACTTACCGCTAATAACGAATTTGTTGCGATGAAGGAGTTTTTTATAACTTTTGTGGCGGAACCCATGCTAGCTTTTTTCTGTGTTATAGATAATATTATTTCCAACAGAGTTCTTTTAAAATTTTCTTTTGCCTAAATATTAGGTGTGGTCACCTCGGTGTCTGACCGTGAACTAAACTTGTGCGAAAGAATTTCCTATTTCTCTGCTGTTTCCCCTCTTATAAAAAATGATAAGAACAGACGCGAACCATCCTCGTCGGGGAGTATCGATGCTTAAATACTCTTAAATATACATATGAATACTTGGATTTTTTTTATAAAGTTTTGTACTGGATTTAAAATTTTAAAAGATCAAAAACTAATCTCATTTGTAATAAATGGAGATGTAGTATTTTAATAGATCTTCCAGGTTCTAAACCGCAAACCGCAGGCTAAGGACATGGCCAGTGTATATGAACCATTAGGTCATTGGCGCGGCGTAGTGCGTGCTAAAATAAACAAAGCTACATTTTTGGCTAAAATTCTAGCAACTCTGGCCGAATCTCTCCCCAATATTATAGTTTTTAAAATATTTTTTTTAATAAACTAATAAAAATAATTCATTCGATTTTTTTACAATTTGTTTTGAGACTCTAGTCAAAAACAAATATATTTTATTAATATTTTATTCTTTACAAAATGAAAATGCCTTCCAAAATCATCGGTAGGAGATTGTCTAAATAAAATGCGTAAAACATTCCATGGCTTTAGGTCAGCTTTTCAATTGTTTTTAATTTTGACAAAAAAACGTATACGCGTGTCGTGTTCTTTATTAGCTGACCAATTAATGAGATATAGAAATAATAATGTTAGAAAAAGTAAGAATAGAAAAGCTTATCTGAAGGCTAGGAAACACAAGCTTTACCAAAATATCATTTTTTTTTTTTTTTAATAATATTATGTTAATTTTATTCAAAATTTTATTAATTTAATTCCCAAATCTATGTTTGGACAACAGTGCGTATGAGATATATTCGTTAAGCAAAAAATGTATGGCATACTTTTACGGTTTTGCAAGGTAAATAAATAAAAGAGTCCTGTTTTTGGGAAAAGTATAACAAAAGTCTTTTATTCAACCGATAAAAGTGAAAAAAAAAACTTTTTAAAAATTCCACTCGACATCAAAAGCAACAAGTCGTTGGCCCAAAGCCGTAAATTGGCTAAAACTTTTTGGCTCTGAAAGCTTTCAGGCGCATGCTTAATATTTCGATCTTGTTAAGAAAACAAACAAACTGACAAGTGGCGAAAGATGTGAAAACAAACATCTCGCACATTTATTTCGATAATTATAAGGGGTAATTGAAACTACAATAAATTTATTTACTCTAATTACAGGTAGGTTTATGACAGAAGTGAATAAGTTATGACTGTCCATTCGTTTGGTTATGAAATGTCGAAGCGAGAAAAACTAGCGAGACCTTTATTCCGAGCTCCCTTTGTACCATGGGATCAGGTCATGGTGGCAGTTAACCTAGAACTCCATGCGCCGCTGCTTGTTCTTAAAACTAATGGCCAGAAAGACGGCCAGGGCACAGCAAATTAGCTAAAAGGTAGAAGATTAAAACATTATTAAAACATACTTATTCCCACATAAGGGAGACCCACCTCAAAGGCCACTAGGACCCAGGAAACGATGATGAAGCGCCTCTTGTCGCTCTCGTAGAAGCTCTGCAGCTTCTCAATACATCCATCCAAGAATAGATGGTCGGGAGTCTGCTGGAGATCGAGGTAGCAGCTGGGCGGGATCAGCTGGCTGAGATGAATATAGTCTTGGGCGCTGCTCTTCCCGCAGCACTCGTGTTTCTGCTGCAGTGCATCCATATTGTTGGCCTGCCACGCCAGCTCAACTGCCTCTTGTCCACTCTTCACGTCATATTGATGCAGTACCAGACATGTGCTCACGATTTGGGGAATGGCCAGGATAAGTAGGAACACGGCACTCTGCAGGGGAAAGGAAGTTTAATATCGTGTTTGGCATTATCCACCCAAAGCCACTTACTGCTGAGGCCAAAGCCACGGATTCCCGGACAGCTGCATAGATTCCCAGAATGGCAAAGATCAGGATAATGGAGCAGGTTATGTAGGCAGTTATGACGAACGCCTTGGTCTCCACATCGGCATTATATGCAATCCATCCTATAGCACCCAGAGCCAGAAACTAAAAAAGTGGATACAATTTTTTTATTAAATTATATTAGAATACGACAGCTCTTTGCACTCTGGCGCCTAAAAAATCTATTACTGATGCACACAGACGATTATAAATACAAGTATTCGTATGGACAGATATATCTAGATCCAAAAATATATGCAGATACTTGTATATGTATAATTAACATTCCCACACTTTATAATTAGATGCACTACAGTAAAAAATTCATTTTTTATAATTCAAGTTAAGTATCACAATATTAAAAAAAATAAAATAATATAGATATATGCTGTAATATTTATGTCGGATATGTATGTTATAATGCCAGAAAATATAATGAGTCAAAGAATATTGACTGTACAGTGTGATATGGTTTTCATTGCAATTACGAGGGCAATTGCAATTCATTTGTGAGGCAATTAACGGCCTCCACAGAGTGAAGCACGGCGCCATTCATCGGTTTGGGGAAGTTCGCTTGACTGAGCCGTGATAATGTCATATATTCGGGGCCCCTCCTTGGGCCCTTCATCCATTGGGGGTTGACAAAGCACCCTTGTTTTGGCCTACTTTCTGGCGGCGGCTCACCCCGTCCTGGGGGGTTCTAGTGATTCGATTTGGTATATGGGTCAGAGTGTAAACCCGAGTGCGAATATTGGTGGGAAATAGAATGACATCATCCTGGGGGAGTGGATATTAGAGCAATTGCAGGCTCAGGCAAAAGTCGGACAGCAGGGAATAAACGAAAACGTAAACATGTTTGCCATGGCAACCAAACAAACTGGATGGATGGATGGATGTATGGATGGATGGGGCCCAGGGGGTGGGCTATTGGCCACCTTGAGGCCAGGCGGTCTATCTCAGGTGGGTCCGAGACTGACAAATGACAGAAACTGCTTAAAAATACACACACGACCAGCTGAAAACATTCGAGGCGAATGAAATATTTTCAAAACACACAACTTTTTGGCTGGGGAGCTCTTGTCTTTTTCGCCGAATATAATTTTTCAAAAATAATACTTTTAGAGGCTTTTTTGAAGTGCGCTCACTTGTGCACCCGTTCCACATGACATCATGCTAATTTCCTTGCCCGAAATCAAGCTAATTCGGATTATGGATATTCTACATTCTCGATGAGGTTGTGGATTATCACTAATTAGTTAACCAAACACGGAGGCTTACTTACCCCTAAAATGGCATTGAGAGCGATCGAGGTGATCTTTACGCTGGTGGTGGCACAACCCATCTTTCTAGACCTGCAACATGCACACAATACCATAAAATCTCATAAATACGCTTTTCAAAATATTTTTCCAATAAAAAAAAAAGAAAAAGAAGTCTATTAACCTTTGACTTCTCGCGTCTGATGATGTTTATTTACGTGTGTTTTCGTATCGCCGGATTTGAATTTACAGCGAAATAAATTTCCGTAAGCGTTTGCCCAGGATTTCCGCTCTCGAGTCTTGACTGAACTTTGGGGTCTGGCACGTTCTGCGTTCGCAGCTGAACTGAACGCGGGAAAAGTTTTGTTGTTCTGTTTTCCCCCGGACTTGCCCCGTCTGCCCCACCACCACCACCACCACAATCAAAATAAACCCGGAGAGAGCGGGTGGGCGAGAGAGAGTGAACGCACTAACGGCCGGGCATGCGGGTGGTGGGCGGTGGGCCAGAGTGAGAGGAAGTGCACTTAGGTCAGCGCTCCAAGCCATGACGTCATATGCACTCAATGCCCCATCCGAGAAATGAACTCGAATTGGAAGATCGAATTAATTTGATGCCCTCAGGCAATTAATAAAATTTGTTTACATTATTGGAAACTCAAACGTTGCAGCTGGTTTTTGGTGACAAAATCGGAAACTCTCTTAATATAACCGACTCCCTCTTAGTCCCCGAGACTGAATGGCTTTTTTCAATGATTACTCATCCTCCATTCAAAGTCAAGCTCTCTCTCCGGCCCAGACCGAACCACCTCCTCTTCCCAAAAAACAGTTTTGTTTTCGAGTTTGTTTATGGTTGTTATGTCTGGGGTCGAGCACTTCCCCCACGCTCTCCCTCCACCTACACACATATCTACGTATCTATATGTATATGCTTCTGGACATACATACATATGGGAGGCATTTTGGGGCTTTGTTATTTTTAAGTCTGGCTTTGGGTGTCAACTTTTTATGCTGTTATGCACACAAAAGACCGCAAGCCTTTGGTTTGCTCAATTGATTTGAAGTGTTTTTGAATGGTCAACTCCTACACTGAGAGAAATGCCTATTATACAAGAGTAAAGTCGAAAAAAATGCGGGTAATAATTAGTTTCAGTGCATGTAAGACTTTCTACATACACAGTAATATATTTAAGTACATACACATCAAAGACTTCTTCGGTTGCTTGGCAAGTATCCGCCGGACACTCGCGTGACGCGGTATATGGCGGATCTAAAAGCAAGGTACATTGGTGACGCTTACAAATGATAAAGGTTATAGGGGTGTGGGACATAGGATTGGGTTCCTAGGTGGTAATTAGGTACTAATAGTTGTAGCGTCGCCGGCGATTTTGGTAATGTATGGCCAAGATAATGGCCAGCAGGAGGATGACAACCTGTAATAGATAGACACACGTTAGCAAGTGCGTTTTAAAAGCCATGAAACTAGTGGAACCCACATCGAATCCAAGCAGACCCCATTCCAAGTAACGCGACGTGGTGGCCTCATCGGCAAAGGCCTCCTCCACCTTGACAAGACAGCCGGAAACGTAGAGATTCAATGGATTCACACAGTTGTTATCCTTGCAACAGCTACTCGGCACAGTCTTATTGTAGTAGGGGATCTCCAGATAATCTTGGGCACTATTGCGACCACAGCAAGAGTACTAAAAAGGAAAAGAAAGGAAAGGTTTACAAGATCGTATCGAAAGATATACAACCTTGATCTCACCGTTGTCTGAATGATATCCATGGCGCCTGGCTTTGTTTGCTCCTGCTGCCAGTGATCCTCCACAGTCTTCAGGGCATACTTCTTGAAAACATCCGATGGACTCAGGACGATGAATGCCACAATCAGGCCCAGCAAGACCAACAACAAAGTTACATACTGAAAGTATGGTTTAACATATTACTAATCGATTGACTCACAAGTAGTTACGAATCTGAAAGATACAAACCGTCCAGAGCATCCGCGATGACTCGCGAACAGCGCCGCAGCATCCAAACATGGAGATAATCAGGATTATACCACCCAGAACCAGGATTCCGATGGCATACTCATCCGGCATTCCGCCCCAGCTGAGGCCGCCAAAGATAAGCACAAGAATGCCAAGTATCTGAAATGATTAGTATAAAATTATTAATAGGGGAGTATACAGCAACAATTGGAACATATTGTAAGTTTTATCAGAGTTATATTTTTAATTGGAGGCGTAACTGCTATAAATAGCAATATAATATAATACAATGAAATCTTTAATATTCAGACTCATGTGTTTCGGACCTTTTTCAGGCCCTGTTTAGCTTCTAACGTGTGTAAGCCTTGGCTAATTTGTCAGCGCTGCTCTCATCGCTGACTAATCCGGTTTCCATATTCTGGCCTGGCTTTAGCTTTTTAACTACGAGTATTATAAAAAAAAACGCGAATGCATGACGCATTTGAGCCGACTCTCTGCCCCGCTTGACTGCCAAGGCAGAGAGCTCTGTTTGAGCCCAAGGAATGCAAAAAGCCGAGCAAAAACCATTAACAATAGTCGCTCGCTAACACACAGATACAGAATGGCCGTTGTATCTGCAAAGTGTAGTCATAAACCAAGCACGCACCGGAGATGACGATGATATCATCTATTGTCCAGGTGGACGTGGAACACGGAACCGAGAATCTTTCCCAATCGATTTCTAATAACAATACAAATTAGCTGATACGCAAATGTATCTATAATGTGTGTATATATAAATTTCGAATCTCAAGAAGCGCCATATGCTCCAGATTCAAACTTACCGCCCACAAGGCATTGAAGAGGAAGAGGGAGTACTTGATGGTTCCCGTTGCGCAGCCCATTATGTAAGTCTGTTCTGATCTTCTATTTTTTCCACTCTACTGATTGGTTTTTAGCGAGAATGCAATCGAAACACTATAGTGCGGCACGTGCAACAGTTTGTCGTTCGGCGACTTAACTTTTTCGAATTTCGAGTGGAGCCGATTCGGTTGGGGAGCAGCTGCGTCCACGGTCTCGAGTGAACTGAGCGCCCCGAAAACTCTCTGGCCCGGAATCCGAGTCGAGCGGGTCCGAGGCAGCCGGCAGCGTCTAGCAGCGTTTTGTTAGAGCAAACAAAAACAACGCACGCACACACACATTACCATACCAGTACAGTGGAGCTTCCAGTGTAACTAAAAGTTTCAAGAGAAAGTAATTAGGGTTATACCACTCCTTTAGGGGCTTGAATTGGGAAACCATTTTTCGTTTGAAGAGCTTAAAAAAATATATTTAGTGTAATAATCTACTCAACCAAATATACAAATTCTTTTAATAAAATCTAATACAATTTTTAGGCTTTAGAACCATTAAGATCGAACTCAAGTTTGAGTTCGTATCGTTCGTATAAACACAACGTCTGTTGTATTTATCTTTCAGTATTCTGGGAAAATAAACTTAAATGTTTACTTCTCCTGGAGCTTTAAATAATATAAGAGAGTATACCCAGTTTGAATCTATAATAAAATAACAAAACCAAATAAGAATTAAATCAAACTTATTATATTTTAATACAAACCTGCTAATCGCTGTGAATGAAATTAAAATTCAATTTCAGCATTAATTAAATTTATAGCGAAGTTAGACTGTGTGATAGAGAGCATAGGCAAACACAACAAGCAAAGTCTAGGGGCCATGGCAAAAAAAAAAAAAAGCAAAACCAAACTCTGTTGTCATTCGGAAGCCAAACAAACAAAAATTGAGGCAAGGGCCACATGGGAGAGCCAGAGGTGGAGACCGGGGTCTGGAGCTGGTTATGCCCGAGAGACCAGAAGCAATAGACCCGGGGAGTTAGCTCCACATAGCGCCGTTTGCCAGATGTTTAGCCACGAAGTGAGAGCCATTAGGAGGGGGGGACTCATCTTTTCCGCCCCTCGATCGCTTCCAAACCGGTGAGATTGATTGAACTTGATTGCGTCAGGCGATTGAAAATGAATGACGCCAGCGTCGGCAAAATGAGATATTAGCTAAGGCTCAGAGTGTTTATTGTTGTAAGAAAACCCTACAGCTGAGAAGTTTAAGGCTTCTCAAGCAATTATAGCTTACAATACTCTATCAGAGAGTATGTACGACAAGATGACCCAAAATAATTTAGTACCGGGTATATTTTTTTAGGAAAACTACATTCGTACTTACTCTTCTTAGAATGAAAAGAAAAATATATTTTTTTTGTTTAATTTAAATCCATATTTCGTTCTTAAAATTCGTTAAAAAAACTATAAAAGTATTTAATAGCTGTAACGAATGCGCTGCTTTCGGAAGCGTCCAACCAAGTAAAAGGCGGCAATCACCATCAAGGACTGAAAGAGTTTAGACCATTTAGCCAACTTTAAGTAGAAATTTATTAGTTTATTCTACTCACAGTTATAGCCACTGAGACCCAGTGAGTGTCGTTGGCATAATTATATAAAACCACGAAGCTTTGACTGGACTTCTGGACGCAGCCGGACAAGAAATGAGGCATCTTGGTGTCCTCCTGCGGATAACAGCTTTTGGGAAGGGTGGTACGACCAATGTCCACATAGTCGTCAGGACCACCACGACCACAGCACTCATACTAGAAATAGGAACACATACTTTAGTAAAAAATATCCATATCCTAACTTAGAACCTAAGATCACTTACCACTTGTTGAAATGTGTCCATGGCGCCGGGTTCCACCAGTTCCAGTTCCCACTTCCTCTGAACCTCCTCGGCAGCAAACTTCTCGATGTACTTTTCGCTAAAGTTCAAGCCAAAGCTGCCCACCAAACTAATTATCAGCTGAACCAGTAGCACGAAGGCATACTATAAGCAAACAAGTAATATCAGTTAATTAACCTGAAGTTGGTAAAGGGAATCCTCCCACTCACCGTGACCGTAAGGCACACGTTCTCCTGGCAGATGCCACAGCATCCCAAAATAGCCGAGACGAAGATCAGACCTCCCAAGCCATAGAGGAATGCGATGTACAGGAGGGGGGCCTTCGAGAGGGCGATCGTGGCAATGGCTATCATCGAAAGACCCACAAGCTAAAAAGCAAACAACAAATAAGATTACTGCCGGACAATGACACTTTGCAAGTACCAAGAAAAAAACAAGAGTATCTTAAAAAATAATCAAAATTCAGAATTAAAATTGCAGCTTCAGACGAAAGTAAAAAATGTGTATCAAATATGAAATGCAAAAATCATTTTTTTTTCTAAACAGCTCTATAATCGAAAGAACATTTTTTTGGCAAACTGGAAAGAGAACAAAGCCTTTGAAATTTATTCTTTAAACAAGCTTTGAACAGGTTTATATTGAATTTTGATTCATTTTATCTTTATTCCTCACACATTGCAACTTTAGAAATGTTTCAAAATGTGCGACCATCATAAAGTATTTTCTAATTAAACAATTTAAAATTACCCACAATGAGTACACGGGGAAAACCACAAAAGCCCGCCAAATGGTTTCCATTTCTGACAAATGAAAAATATCTTTCACGTTGGCCGTCAAATCGGCAATTAAACTTGATTGTAAAAGGCAAACATTACTTTTTTTTTAAACTTCAAATGTATATGTAGCTTACCAATACATAGATTTTACTATTTATAATGTTAAAATTATGGTTTAATAGTACTTAATTACTTACAGCATTTAGAGTGTTGATGATATTAAGGAGACACTTTACACAACCAGAGGTACAACCCATTTTGAAGCTTTCAGTTTATCCTTCAGTCGAAAAATCGAAAAAAATTGCAATCAAAAAGAAGAACTGGTAACGCAAACCAGCCCGATCGGAATCCAAAATGAGAATGATTTCAGAATTTTAATAATGAAATAAACATTGCCCATCACTCTTCGGATTAAGATTTCTCTCTGATCTCAGCCAATGCTGCCAATTTCGATGAAAAAGATATGAAACAGCCGAGTTGATTGTTTATCATATGGAAAGTATTTATTCTCTAATGGCAAATTAGCTAAGTTGGTTAACTTTTATTAGCAACAATAATGCTGGTTATCCACGACCCTTAATCGTTCATGGGGGTCTCCTCATCCTTGACCTTGGTTTTGGCATGCTTCCGGGCCTTGCCCATGTAGTAAGCTGTGAAAAGGCCCATGAACTGCAAAAACAAGGCATTAGGTTTTAATGTAGGATATGCTTATTAGAAAGAAATTAACTCATACCTCGAGCGAAATAATAGCTAGGCAGCTGTAATAGTTCAGGTCAGCCTGCATCCTTAGGTTTGTTATTGCTTTGGTGGAGCAGCCCTCCTGGTAAACATGACTGGGATTGGAGCAGTCGAAGGCATAGCAACAGCTGCTGGGCAGGGCTCCATGCTCCGTGCTAAGATAGTCCTGCGGTCCGTCCATTCCACAGCAGCTGAAGAGGCTGTGCACGGGCTGCATCTTGTCGTCATTGTGGGTCTTCTCAGCAAACAGGCGGCGCATGCGCTCCTCGAACCTGCCCATCAGCTCCGTCCGCATCGCCGTGAAGACGAACAGGTAGGCACCCAGCGCGGATATCACCAACCCACTACAAATCAAGTACTGAAAAGGTAACTATTTAGATAATGTTGGACAATAAGAAACTCTATTCCCTTACGTATATGGAATACTTATGTGACTCCTTTAAGGACACGTACATTCCCAGGAATGCCACTCCAAAGACCCCAACTCCACACAGAGCAGCCCCATAGCTCCCGGATTGTGATACCGCTGAGCCCCAAGTCACAACGCCGCAAGAAAAGAAGAATACATTACATGTCTGAAATTGTAGAATTTCAAAATAATTATTTGGAGATTTGTAAGCTTGTTTAAGATAGATAGATTAATAATAAGATAGAAAATACTTTTCACATATTTTGCCATACATGTTTATCTTATATAACATTGTCTAGTTAAGGTATGTTTGAGGTATGTTTATATAAACATAAATATCAGTTTGATTAATTAGATAAAATGATTAAAATAAATTCATTTATTTACGAGAGGCTGTATGAGTTCCTTGACATTTGAAAGCATGACAATAGTCGCCTCGTAGGCACGAAATGAATTTAGAAAAAATTTAATATAATATATTATTAGTTGTGATGTTTTCCTAAGTGTGTTCGTCCATTACAAAACGCGGCCCGGTGAAATATATGCAATTACGTCCGAGTACGTAAATGCTTTCATGAATATAAACCAAAATAAGATATCGATTTGTATGTAGTTTGTAAGGCTTTTCGGTGCCCAAAAACATGCTCTCGTGGGAAATTTGCACTTTTTGCATATTATTGATTTTTTTCGGCGCTTTTTCTCGCATCACCGGATTGTTGTGCAAGACACACGTGAAGAGGTAGGGTCTTGGCCTTTTCAACTTACCACTATGAGAATGCAAGTGGCTAGCAGACCGTATTTCCACGGCGTTATGGAAAACGACTTCTCCATGTTTCGTCAGTAACCTGGGCTAGTCGAGGAAATCGTCACACATGAATCCCTATTATAACACTAAATGTTTTTTTATCTCTCTGGGGGTCCCGACAGTTTGCTCGATTAACACTGTGCCCGGGGGCAGGGCATTGTTTACCCGCGGTAGGTCTGAGCCCGAAGCGTCGAAGCCCTCTCTCCCGCTTTTGGGGTTCGTGTGGATGCGGATGCCACAAATACTGGCCAGCGACTGAGCCCTCCGACGAGAGGCCGGGCATATTCACCACCAAGCACAACAGCAAGGAGAACAGACAAATTGGCGACAACGGCGCAGTCGCCATATGAATATGGAATACAGGGTGATTTTTTTACATAACTAGAGCTAGAGAAATATTTTATCTAAATAACAATTTTGTAGTTCGTTATAGTTTAAAATAAACTAAATAGCCAGTTTCAAAATATTGTTCTAGGTCCCCAGAAATATTAAAAGTACAATGTAAGAACTTTGAATCTGTAAAAATGCAATTTGGTAATCTTTCTTAACATAAATCAAAAGGCAAAACTTAAAAGATAAAATTTTAGACTTTAATTAATGGATGCACTAAAATCTTTGTTTATTTTCTCACCGGATGAGGAATTTATTTTCCGATGACTTACCGACCACTGCCGACCTCTGGCTTAACACTCCTAATACATCTTTCAAATAAATGTTTCTTTAAAGTTTAAACTCAGATTACTCAAATTTGCAAAAGAGCCTATAACTTATAAGTAGCTATGAGAACTATAAAATTCTTAAAAAATCCAAAAAAAGCCCCAATAAATAGGCTTTCTTGTTACTTCTTCCCATTTTTTAATACACTTACGAAACGTTATTAGAATTTTCGACAATTATGGCTTAGGTTAGATTTAACAATAATAAATAGGCTTATTAGTAACAGGTTTTAGAAAATGGTACCGAGACTTAGACTTAATTTTACATCCAAACGGCATTATTGCGTCGGCTCTGATTCTTAACGCTGCTGTAAAGCATCCATCCAAAAACAGCTCCCACAACCTGAATAGGGAATTGATATAAAATAGATTTTAGAAAAAAATATCAAGGAGATAGATTGACTTACCTCTCCTATGATTAGCAACCAGCATACGATTTTAAAGACAAGCAACTTGTCATCGAGGTAGTCCACAAACTTGGCCTTGCAACCGGCTTTGTAGACTCTGGACTGGTCAGCACAATTTTTTTCCAGACAACAGCTCGATGGAATGGCATGGTGGATGATCCAGTAGTCCTCGTGGCTGTTCACTCCGCAGCACTGTAGCCAGTTCTCATAGTAGGCCAAGGCCCCGGATTCATTGCGCTCCGCCTCCCAGAGCCGTTCGAATCCCTCGTTGATGCTTCCCGAGATGCCGTCCTTGGTGCCGTGGGAGGCCATGCTGAGGAACAGTAGCTGGGATAGGATCAACAGTACCACTGCACCCACATACTGATAGAAGAAAAGAAATATATTTAATAAAATTATATAAATTTTATTCTTTAATCTAAATCCCTGGATTGGAAGAAGTAAATTAAACTTGATGACTCTTTTATTTAAACATTAAAGTTTAATAATTAAATCAAATCATCAAATTTAAAAGTCGTCCCTATTAACCCAGAAAAATAATAGTTTTTTTTAGGAATCTTAATGTTTTAATACTCACTATCAATAGCCTGACCGGAGCTTCGTGAATGGCTGCCAGACAGCCAAAGATCGCAATGATGAGGATGACGACGCCGAGGCCGATGATTAGACCTCCGGCCACATTTTCACCAATGCTGACTGCATTCTCGGCGGCGGAGATCAGAAAGAAAATTCCGAATCCGATCAGCGCCAGGCCGAGCACCTGTGGAAAACACAACAAGTCAGACACACAAAAACACACACACATTCTGCCCACTCGCAGGCAGGCAGGTGAGCAATAAAAAGAGACAATGCCGCTACTCACGGAAAAGACAAAATTGAGCAACAGCAACAGATGCTTCACTGTAGTGGCGGCCAGTCCCATCTTCACTGTGGACGGAATCGATTCAAACTGAAGACGACAGCTGCGACTTGATCAACGAATTCGAATTCGAATGGGCTGCATCCAGCGTAGTTACCTCAAAAGGCAATATTGAGTATCCAGTTTTGGGTACTAGGTATCCGTCGGATAGCCGAACGGCAGTTGACCGTTGGGTTTCAGCGGCGGGAATCAACTGGCAGCGAGATACAAAGTGAAACAACATGTTTTTGTTTTGAATAAAATAACAAAACTGCTGGCCGCTCGCGTATTCTATCTATAAATCAGTGAGTAGAAATCGAGAGCGTAGAATCGCCCACATTTGTAGATATACGCGAGCTTTTCTTGTTTACTCAGCCCATATAAACATATATTGATCATCTATCTGAAGATTTCTTTTATTTTTTTAGCCATGGTAGTTTACATTTTTATGAATGAATACTTGGTATCGTGTTTACTCGATTTATCATCGTAAATTACAATCACAATTCGTCGGTGCTTATTGTCTAGAAAATTACTCACAACAAATAACAATAATACATTTAGCGAATACAATAAAAACCTAATTTAATTATAGAATCGTATGCGGTCGCGGTGGTTTCGAATACTATCCACTAAGTAGCAGGTAGTCACAGAACTAGCAAACTGTAATTTAATTCGATAAATAAGTAATTAAAATTATAATTTACGTTTAATCTGACTCACCTCAAAAACTATTAGGAACCAACTAAGAGAGTGAAAGTTGGCGGTTTTCCCGCCAACATATTGTTTGTATTTTAACTCACAGCCAGACATGAACAGATTTAAGGGCTTGGTGCAGTCCAGGTCCAGACAGCAACTTGGCGGGGGAGCCTTCTCCAGATGCAGATAATCCTCGGCGCTGTTGCGGCCACAGCAGTGGAGCTTTGTTATCATAGGAACTGATTAAAACTAAATATTTGCTTAGATGGTAGAGCCACCAACTTACCCACTCTTCATAAGCGTTAAGAGTACTGTTGCCAACATGCTGCAAATCCCACAGGTCGTCAAATCCCTGCTTTAAAGTATCCGGCAGAGCTTCCCGGCTGGCAGCAAAACTAATGCTGAACATAACAAACTGGACGATCAGAAGAATCACCAAAAGAACCGCATACTACGGAAGAAGAAGGGTTTTAGGGTCTCAGTTGTCACGGTCGGCACAAAATCCAAACTCACACAAATCAGTAGGCTTTTGGAGTCCTTTGCCACCGCCACAATGCCAAAAATGCTCGCAAGTATGATGACACTTCCGAGCAGGATGCAGATGATGGCGGCCAGTTCCTCGCCCGCACCCACGACATTTGGCTGGTCGGATAGACTCTCCAGTAGCCAGACACCATACCAGATGAGAAGACAGCCCCCTAGCTAAACAATAGACGTAATTCCCTTTCAATGTCAAACATTTTGGAACTATTTTTAGGCACTTACAGCACAAATACCGCTGATGACACACAGAATGTATCTGAGCAGACGAGTGGTGCAGTACATGACGCAAAAATGGCAGCTAATATACGAAAAAATGTCAAAAATACTACTTCACTTGATTCTATCCGCTGGGGGCGAACACACCTTGAGCACTGCCATCAAACCACCGACTAAAGTCCCCATAATCTTCATTTGTTTGTCTGGGGCATTTGACAGAGCTATCGTTGGGAAACGATTAACCCACAGATTCGTCGTTGCTTCGGGCCCTCTTCGTCGGCCAGATGCAATGGCCAGAAAATACATAAAGATTTTCCAATGTTGTTGGGGAAAATCAAAAGGCGAGCAACACGGGGCAGAGAAGAATCAAAAAGAATACAAATGAAAATTAGCGTGAGGCGCCCGCCCACGCGACCTGAAGCTATGAGACAGCATGTGTCCACCCTCACATTCCCCTCCGTGTGAGGGGACCGAGGGGTTTGGGCCTTCATCTTATTTATCATAGGAATGATGTCAACAGAATTTCGAACCGCAATCCGATTCGAAATCGGAAGTCCGGGCACACACGGCAGACTATGAACAATTTTTTATTTGGGCTTGGCTTTTTGAAACATAGTTGTTTACAAAAACAAAACTTGATTCTTAGGTCAATCTTAGTGTAGATTAAATTACAATGTAAATGGTTGTGTTCCGTTTAAATATTACATTACATTTGTTCAAAGTGATAAATAAAATAGCATCACTGCCTCACATCGCTTAAGTAAACTTGTTTTGGAATCTCTATTGAGTTTGCATTTGAAGTTTTTTGTTTTTCGTATGAATGGAGAATTCTTTGGCCTTAAGTATGTACATATGTGCATCTTGGAGCTGGACTTTTGAAATGCAATAATTTCAAAAATTCAAGACGAAGTGTCTACTTCTGGTAGTATTTTGAGCGCCGCCAGCGATTCACAATGCTGTTGGCCAGAACGTAGGCCAGCAGGGCGCAAATAACCTGAAATTAAAATAAAAATGTTATTAAAAATTATTAATTATGGAAATATGACAATCTTACCTCCACACCGACTAGCACCAAGGCCACAATATTGAATTCGTCCCATTTTTCAGCAATATAGTCTATAAACCTTTGCCTACATCCATCCATATTCAACCTGCCCGATTCTTCATTATAGCAACTATTTGGAGCAAGAATATAGTCACTGGGACCCACATTGCCACAGCAGTCCAACTGAAATATGGAATACCAAACATGGCATTAAGATTCTGGGAATGGGTTTCTGGTAAATCTGAGAAAGCTTACCCAACGCTCCAAACTGGCGATCTGGCTCTGGTTTCCTGGCTTAATGGGCAGTGGCTGGTCATTCCACAGTGTGTCGAAGGTTTTGTCCACGTTTATGAGCAGAGATGTTTGGAAGGCCCAAAGGAAACCCACAGCAAGAACTTGCAGCACAATTAGGACCACCAAAATGAAAACAAACTGTTGGGGGCGAAATAAAATAATATAAAAATAGTAAGATAGTGTAGGGTCTAAAACCATAAATAAAAATAAAGTTTGTTGCAAGTACTTACCACCTTGGATACATTGCTGCTCTCACGTGCCGCTCCCAGAGCTCCGAAGAGGGCGGTCAGAACCACGATCACGCCCAGGCCAATGATGACGAAGGCTGCCGTGTTGAAGTGCTCGAATTTGTAAATAACGTGGACTCCAAGGCCAATCACAACCAGACCGAACAGCTGCCGAAATGGAGAGGTGTAAATCGTTTGATTGAAAAGTTAAATAAATTCTATATGTGCTGAGAGGTGATGAAACCCATTTCGAAGGTTCCACCTTGAGTCAGTATGCAAATTTAGTCTAGGATTGAATAAAGAGTACAGAAAAGTCAAACACTGCCTTCCTTTTCGAGAATTGGCAGTAGCTGATTACGTATACGCAGTGTGGACGCTTCCATTCGCTTTCTTGCCAGAGCAATTGCCTGGCTACTTGCATTTTATGTATATAGGAACATGAGTCATTAGATTTACAAAAGCAATGCGATATTTCACACACTTCTGCCAAATATAGACTCTTTGTAATTTGGCACTTGGCAGATTGCCCAAAGAAGCGCAAGAGAGTACGAATTCGCGATCCGCGGCCCACCTACTGAATAAAAGCACATGAAATGCGTAATAATTATATTTCTACATTTCTGATGATGTTTGCACTCGGCAACCTGTTGCTGACAACAGTTTGTAAATTATTTTTACAATTGTCAGAGGGGCAATAGCAAAACCAGTCAACAAATATGTTGGCTTTGACGTGACTTGTTTGTCACTTGAGTTGACTCTATCCCGGCTTAGGTAAACCGAGCGTTATGGCCGCTCGCTCACCAATTCGGCTCAGAGCCCAGGCCTGCGACGAGGTAATTATGAATGATTTCGCCGATTAATCATTTCGCGCCTAAGTTTGTCGCAGGCCAAATAATGTATCTGATTTTGGGCCCTAAGCGATTAGGAAGTCCAATATTTTGAAGCATTCAGGTTGGGTCAACAAATATTAACTGCCAAAAGCCACAACTTGTGAATATTTAATTGACTGCGGCGCCGAAAATGGTACGAAAATAATAGTATTTACATTAATTGAGTTACAATCGGCATGGGCCCATCAATTAATGTTTACGAGCCTCTAGAGATGACTGCTCATCCGCCAGGCACGTAAACCTAAGACATCTGGCATTGGAGTGTTTGGTTATCTCAGTGTATATTCAACGCCATTTAATTGTAATTTATTATGCTCCGGCGCCCAATTCCCTCGCCCAAGTCCAAGAAAGCGCTGACATAATACCAAGGGCCCTCAGAAAAACAAAAACACAACAAAGGAATCAAAACAAAAAGGCACGTTCTTCATGGAAATTGGGAACAAACCATTTTTATAAGTTGAAATGGAAAGCAGGCATGCCGGAGTAGATTCTGGAATTGTTTAAATCCGCCGAACCATAATTAGACTTTGTAATGGGGAACTGAACTTGGTGCCTTTTAATTCGCAACAGAAACAAATGTGCGTTGTGTAGATAGAAACGGGTGATATCTAAACGGGTGATACAATTAGCACAATCGCCAAACACTTATGGCCCTAAAGAGACACTCTGGTGATAAGACTAGTCATGAGTTGGCAACAGGCGACATGACTTTATTAATTTGCTCTCATTTAACCACGCAGACAGACAATTAAGCGCAATAGTAGCCGACGTGTGCAAGGTCAGACTAGTTAGGCTAGTGCTACATACTAATTTGCATTTCGGGTGATAAGGCAGGGAGTAGGCAGATCAATTACCAATGTCAGAGCCCCATAAATGTCCAAAAACGAGGCAGTGCCAACAAGTTGACGCTGCCATTGAGCCGGCTCAGATTTATGTGGGCTTTTGACGGCATGGGGGGCACCAACTACACACTAAACCCTCAAAGACAAAGGTGAAGCCCCACCCTAAACCCTAAAGTATAATGAAGTAATTTGGGCCGCGGCTTCAGCATAATTGAAATCTCTCAGCGCTCTGTTCCGAAAATCAAAAATGAACTCGCCTGGAACCAAATGCGGAAAATTGCTCATCCGCCGCGTGGTACCCGCTAGCATTTCCTCAACCTTCAGACGCATTCCATTTGAATCGAATACTAAATAGATGCCCGGGCGCCTTAGAAATGACATCAACGCACCATAGCCATACCAAAATCTCGTTCAAGTAAAACAAACTAAACAACAGCAAAAATCTAATAAAAATTCTGTATATTTTTGTTCAGGGTTAAGTGCTGGCGTGGGTGACCAAGTTTTATTTTGTCCGCCAACAAATGTGGTAAAACAAAAAATAAAAAGCTCCGAAAAAAATAAACAAAAATCTTAAGTAAATAAATTATTATATCATTTTTTTAAAAGATATTTTTAGGCTAGAAAAAGGAACACATTGCACACTGGCTGTCCAAACTAGAAAATCATTCAAAAGTTTAAAAGCTTTGCCGCCTAAACTGGATATTTGGCAATGTGAAAATAAAAATTTTATTAGCCATGCCAAAATTTGCATCAAAATGAGTGAACAAAATAAATAGCTATCGAACTAAACGAATGGAATGGCTAACTCTGTAACAAAAAACAATCAGTTGTGGGCACGTTTATTTTTTTGTAACACCAAACAAACAATTGTCAGCATCAAAGGTCGATTGGGTCTGAATGAACTTGAACCAAGCTGGATGTATCTTCTTGGGCAAAACCTGGCAATTGGCCAATAGTAAGCATACTGTCGGTAATTGTCCGCCAATTAGCCTTGGCCAGAGATCTCAAGCTTAATTCTGGTTTTAATGCTTGTTGGGGTCACCAAAGCCACCAATCAGTCTTTTTTTTCTTTTAAACACTCGACATTAAATTAAATCTTAGTACTTACAGCATAGATGATGTCCCAGAACAGGGAGAACCCCTTTAATACGTTTGTGGAACAAGCCATTTTTTTATAATCCAATATTATTTGATAGCGGTCAGGCGATTTATAAAATCCTTGTTGGTTGACAACGCGCGGTTTATTGACAATCGGAAAATATTTGGAGTTTTCTAACGGTTGCGCGGGGTAACCCAAACCCGGTTCATGTTATTTTGCTTGTGTTTCTGCTACTGATAGTTTGTCGTTTGGCGGTTCGCTGGTCTTCGCTGTTCTTATCCGTTAACCATTTACCCGGTTCGTACATGCGTTACCGATTCGCTCTCGGCTAGCGCGAAAATCATTTTGGCCAGACGAGCGACGAAAAGCTTTGACACAATGCTTTTCTACATGCAATCTACATCTACGTTAAACAATCTACAATCTACACTAGGGTGAATCAATATGCACGAAGCTTGAGATCACTTTTTTAATATTTTGGAGCGTATCTTTTAATTTATTAGGATTTATTAAGAGAGACTCCCGGTATACTCCAAGCAAAAAAAATACCTAAAGTACTGTAATCTTCATACTTCCTAGGGCTTCCTTATCAATATTTCTAAAATACTTCGTATATTCCGATTTAAGTAGACGTTTGTATCGCATAACGGTGGCCCACCCTAGTATAGACCCATAGATATACATATATTAATGTTAGTCTTTACTCTGTATATATAACCAGAAATAGACGATGAACTATTTGAATAAAAGGAAAAAAAGCCATGGCCTATTCTATTTTCATTTTTTTTTGTTTTAAGAGATAAACGGTGTTCCTTAATTTTTCATTAAATTGAGTCTGCGAATTGAATTGTAAAATTAATATTAATATGAAATAATCTTGATTTATTTGTTTTAGCAATGGAATGCAATAGGTGGTCAGTTTGCATACTTAATTCTCCATTTTTATTGGCACAAATGGTTTTATGTTTATTTTTAAAGAATTTTTTTTGTTTTTTTTATCCAAATTGTATTTTTGTTTTGTCAAATATTTAAAATACAACTCAAATATCATTTTAATAAGAACAAAAATATTTTTGACCATTTGTTTCAACCATTTATTTAAAATATTTTGATTATTTTGAAACAGGTTGAAAACCATTTATGGTTTATGAAACCAAACATCTGTCTGTAAAAGTTCGTTAATCTTTTTCAAATTCAAAAATATTTTTCATTATAAAATCGTTTAAAGCTATTTTCATTTTCCAAAAACGCTTGTAAACTTTAAAAGTATATAGTATACCACCAAAATGTTACCAACCCGACTCTTATACAAAAACAAGTTTATTAAAGACCTTTATTTAATTAGTTAATTTATAAATATCTTTAAATAAATAATTAATATTTATTTCATATACATATTTATGTGTACATTTAAAACAACGTGAGTGTTAAATCCATATAATATAAATATTATAACATATATCTTTTAATACCCTTGCAGGGAGTATTATAATGTATGTGTGCAACGCAACCATAAAGGCATAAGTGTCCGTCGGTTTCTGAACGAAAAGACAATTTTAAAGCTAAAAATTCGAAACTTTCCTTTACAGAGAGAAAGTTGGGATTTTTGTAACCTTTTTTTTGAGCACGGGCTTGTTGTACCAATTATATGAGGTTCAGCTGTACCCTATAGCTGCCATATCTTGCAGATCGGAAATGTCTATTTAACTGCCTAGTATTATAATCTTGACTCCTCCCAAAGTTAGTTTTCGTATCTTTTTGTCAAATATAACGAGCCATTTTTCAATTTGAACAAGCCGAGCAATAGGTGTTGGCACCTACGAATAATAGGTGCGACGTGCATCGTTTCGAATCGTATTACAGAGGCAGCAGGAAATTACACTCAACAGAAGCTGAAAACATATAAAATTTTTAAAGGATAAGAATAAGATTCAAAAACTTTGAATAACTCACCTCGGCACCAATAAGAACACAAGCAAGAATGTTGAAAATGTATAGCAACTTCAGCCAGTAGTTCTCAAACTCCACCCGACAACCTGTGTGAATCAGATTTTCGGGCTTGGTCTTGTCATGGTTGCGGAAACAGGTGTCTGGAGGCAATCTATCGTTTACGATGTAGTCCTGGGGACTGCCGCGGCCACAGCATTGGAACTAGAGATAAGATTTAAGTTAAAACTAGGTTTTAATTCGAAATATCTTTGACAGTTACCCAGTTTTCGTAAAGGGACATGGCTCCTGGACTGTTTAGCTCCTCCTCCCAAGTAGTTTCCAGAGGATAGGCCAGGTTGGATGCCACATCCTTCTCATAGGAGAATAACAAAACGACGGCAGCGAACTGAGCAACGATGACTAGGCAAAGAAGTACAATAAACTGCCAATAAAAAATATTAGTCATTTGAAATCAACAGCTATTTATAGAGGTGAAAACTTACTGTGACTGTGCAGCATACATTTTCGCGCCAAGCGGACAGATATCCCCAAAGGACGATCAGCAGGGCGGACACTCCCAAGCCCACGTAGGCATAGGCCGCTGTTGAACCGACTGCATTAAGATCATAGGATACCACCACGTAGATTCCAAAGGATATCAGCACCAAGGACAACAACTGTAAGATTATAAAAATGGACCAATAGACATCATAAATTTAGGAACATCAGAAGTAATCATGGGTTTTATTTGAGCAAAATTAAATGGTCAACAAGTAAGTTAAAAAATAACGTAATGTGATGACGCCTTACAGATGACAGTCTGTAATTAAATAAGAAACAAATTTGTTGAACAACAAAGCTCACATGGCAATCTGTTGGGTTCTGGAGTACAGACATTTATTCTAATTCGATGTTTTCGACTTCCCCGAAGAATTTAACTAGCAAGAGGCGTCCCTATGACTAGCCTGTCTGGCGTCCCAGATAGACGCCATGAAAATTATTAACATTGGGAGTGGGGAGTCGAAGACGGGATAGTGTCGGGAGGACACCCAGGAAGGTCACCCAAGACAAACAGATACCCCAGGACTATTCGCACAGACAAGGTCAGTTGATTACATTTCATATCCTATGTGCATATATCAGAACGCTTGGTTAGTTTATGTCATGGGGACTTGTTTGTTTGGCTATGCAAACACTTTTTTTAAAAAATGACGCCATTTATACATATGTATGTATTGTATACAAATAGTAAGCATTTTATCGATGTGTGCATATTATGATGGTGAATATTAAGGGAAACCGGTTAACAGAAATGTTTGTTTGTACAACCGTGAATGATTTATTCTGAGTAAGTTCTGCACGGAATTTTGACGGGAATTCGCGCCACTTGTGCTCCTCCTCAATATCGATTGGGAATGCAATATTGATGAGCTTGTGACTGATTGATACCTGATCAAATCAAATTCTCTGGGACTGACCTCCAGGCGCATCTGTTCAGTCTCACAGTTTACTTGCAATTAAATTTTTATGAATAAACCACTAATTCATAATCGTGGAAACGGGCTGGTCGTTAGACATGTTTACTATCGCTTCAATGAGTTCTTTTCTACCTAGCAACCAAAAAAAGCGCCCATATCATAGGTGTGCGTAATGATAAGATTTCCTTCCGGCAATGGTCAGGGAATATGTATTTTATTTTGATATAATTGTTGATATTAATGTCAATAAACACTTCTCAACGTTTTGTACTTAAGAAGGAATACAAGGGAGCCTGTCTAGGTATACTTTACACTTATATACAAATACTAACCGTACAAATAATGTCCAGTCCGAAGACCACAACCTTGAGGCACGACGTGGACGCCATGATGATAGGATTCTGGACCTAAATAAAGGCGGGAACAAGCTGCTTGCGCATCGAAAAGATGTGTTATTTCTATCTGTTTTCCTCTCGCATTTTGTATCTTAAATAGCTACACACTCTATCAGGCCCGGATCTATAGACAGTCAATCAGGGTATACCCCTCATTTAGGGAGACAAATTCAGGCATCCTTCTTAATCGGAGATCTACATTTGAATAATGTCTCCTTACCTCTATTATATTATTTATTAATTTTGTAACATAATCCAAGTGTCGGTAAGGTTTTCATAAAACACATAGATCCGGGCCTGTAGAGTCTCTCGCAAATGGCAATAAACGAGACAAAATTTAACAAAAAGAGTAAATGTACAATAAAAAAATAATAGGAAACCACATTAACTTTTCTATTCAGACACAAAGGTGGCAATTTATTTTCATTTAAATGTTTTCTTTAACATTTGCAGTAACGAATTCTGAAGTAATATTCATGATCACTTGAGGTAGTTGTTGTTTAAGTTAAAAAGTTCTCTACTGTAAAATAACTTATCAAACACATTGAAAAAGACTTAAGCAAAGAGATCAGAAATATCCGTCTTCTATCTTTATTTTTAAGTGCTCTTGGCTTCTCGTTTTCACTTTGACATCGCCCTTACTAAGAAATTTTTATTTTTATTTGTTTTTACGAAGAACTTTCACTTGTACCTTTATCCGCGTTTCACCTCTCTCGCATCACGGTTGTGAAGAAACTGGAAAAAAAAGCTTAACAGCTGTAAAAGTCTCCATGAAACTATCGATTGTATCTATGAAATACATGTAGAAAGTTGAATATCTTTTACAAGTAGATACGAACCTCATGTCAAGTTTGTTTTTGAAAAATTAGACGGATAATTTTAACATTTTAAAATAGTACCATTTCCTTTCACAAAAAGATTTTCTTCATGCTTTTGCTTCTATCATGCTTTTGCTTCATAGAAATCCAGATTTTTAAATGCAACCGGTTCAGGGCTCCAACAAAAAATAGGTCATTTTCTGAGCAAACAATCGACAATCGACTGAAAGCTCAATAAGGCACAAACCGCCAAAAAGTTTTCAAATTGGGGATATTTCCAATAAGTAGGAATACTTCTAAAGATACTTTTAGATCTTTACAAATCATCACCATGGATCACAGTTGGATTATTTCTTTAAGATTACCCTGATAATAGTGCCAAGTACCGGGCCTAAGTTTACAGGTACTATTAAGGATATTTTACCGAAGAATTTTTCCAGAAAATTGTTTAGTTATTTTTTTATAAATGTTCCGATGTTAATACTGATGTGAGGAACTGTGAATTTAGTACAACTTGTTTAGATGCTATGCATTGTCAGGTAAAAAAATATAATATTTATAAATATGGTCAGATCATGTTAGCATGAAAGTATTTCCATTTGTTTCATAGCAGATATCTCCGCCATTAGGTTCGGTGTTACTAGTTTTTGTATAGTAAGTGCGACGTGCATCGTTTCGCATCGTATAGCAAGATATAACACTCAAAGAAAGCTGAAAATATATAAAATAGGTAAAGGAATCAGTTTTTAAATCAGGTTTAAATAGCTCACCTCGACACCAATAAGAACACAAGCCAGAACGTTGAAAATGGTTAACAACTTCAGCCAGTAGTTCTCGAACTCCACCCGACATCCAGAGTCAAGCAGATTCTCGGGTTTGGTCTTGTCATGGTCTCGGAAACAGGTGTCTGGAGGTAATCTATCGTTTACGATATAATCCTGGGGACTACTGCGGCCACAGCATTGGAACTAGAGATAATTTTAAAGTTAACCCTATGTTTAATTTGTAAGTCTCTTCATCAGTTACCCGATTTTGGTAGAGGGACATGGCCCCTGGACTCTTTAGCTCCTCCTTCCAAGTGGCTTCCAGGGGATTTGACAAATGGGATGCTATATTATCGTGACGGTAGAATAACAAATAGACGGCAACAGCCTGAGCAACGATGACTAGGCCAAGCAGCACAGTAAGCTGTCAATAAAAAATATTAGTAATTTGAAATCAACCTCTATTTATAGAGGTGAAAACGTACAGTGACGGAGCAGCATAACTTTTCTTGACGAGCAGAGAAGTATCCACAAAATACAATCACCACGGCGGACACTCCCAAGCCCACGTAGGCATAGGCCGATAAGGAACCGACTTCATCAAGATCGTAGGATACCACCACGTAGATTCCAAAGGATATTAGCACCAAGGCTAGCAGCTGTAAGGTAATAGGAATGGGAGAATAGGATTATTCAATAATTAAAAGCAATAATTTGGACATAAATGGAAGGTAATCTTTAAAAAATAACTTCGGGTGAAGGTAATATACCCCAGCAATTCAATGGGTGCGTTGTATATTAAAAAATATTTATCTTATCGAATATTTATAAACATTTCACAAAAATATTGGCCGATTCTAATGGAACAACAGTTTTGTTTAAGAATATAGGTATGTACTTTTGGAATTTAATAAATATCATTTACAGCATGGCCCACATTTGTGCAAAATTATAATACCCTGTGCTTTGTTGTACAAATAATTAGATTAAAAACTATTCCAGATGCCACTTAATGATTTTTATACTTGAACCTAAAAGATCATATGGCAACCTGTTGAGTTCTGGAAATAGGCATTCGATCGATTCGATGTGTTCAACATTCTCTAAGAGACACACTAGTCACTAGACTAGCCTTCCTGGCGTCGCAGGCAGACTAGAACTAGGAGTTGGGATTTGTTAACAGGATGTATGGGGGGATACCCAGGACGGTTACCGAAGACAAACAAATGCCACAGGATTATTCACATGCAAGGTCAGTTTATTACTTTTCAAATCCCATATACTACATATGTACATACATTCCTATGTGTGTCGGAAAGCTATTTATGTCGTGTGTAGCATGACATATTATGTCATGAAGAGTTTTGTTTTTAGCTGTATAAATTAAAATAAGTAAAAGCTTTTTTATTTCTCTGCCCATATGTCTTCATACATATGTACATATAGTACGCTTTACTGCTTTTATTCAAACATATGGACATTGTTAACTCCCGCCATTTGTGCTCATCCTGAGCTTAGAAGCGGCCACGCAGTTTACAGTCAATTAAGTTCTATAAACAAACTTGTGTTCGGCCCCAAAAACCTTAAATATTTGCAAAGAATAGCCGAAAGTTGGCTACATGCATTAAGTTTCGTTCGTATATACTCTGTCGCGGTTCGCAGTAGATTTTGCTCTCGTTTATTGGTACTGGTATTTAACCTATGCTCCTGGAATAAAACCCGGCCGACCCCTGAAATAATTTATTAATTCAGTGGAATTCATTGGGTCATTAGAAATTAGATATGCCGTCGCTTTGATGAGTTTTTTTTTACCTAGCAACCAAAAATAACCATCTCCATATGTGTGCGTCAGTGATAAGATTTTTTTCGGTCATAGTAGACGAACGATTTTGCAAAAACCCAAACAAATAAGTGATACTGTTTACTTAAAAAATAAACATTAATACTAACCGTGGCTAAAGTCTGCAGTCCGAGGACCACATACTTATGTATCGTTGTGGATGGCATTTTGGCGGGATATGATTGGCCTTTTGCATCGAAAAGATTGTTTATTTCAATATTAATATATAAACAATCTTAATCTTTCTCAATCTTAAAAGGGAAAGGCATTTTGACTTCTAACTAGATCCGGGTCTGCGTTCTTTCCTACAGAAAGACGCTCAAACCCACTAATTGACCAAAAATGTACAATTGAACAATAAAACACAAGACAGACATCTATAGTCGAGTTATCCGACTGTATGATACCCAGTACTCATCTCTTTTACACATACGCTTTTTTTTTTTAAACATTAAATTTAATAAACCTTTTAAATTCTAATCCTAAAAAAAATTTTGTTGCATACTTTGGTATATTTGGACCTAACATCTGAACAAACATCCCAGTTGCGAAGCAGAATACAAAACCTATCTCTTCTAAAATTCAGCATATAAATGTTTATAATTTGTCAACAAATCGGACGATAACTAAAAATTGACACAAAAGAAATATTTCATTTGTGGGGGCGGGAGAACATAAAAAAAAAACTTAAATCGCGTGGGTATTATAGCAGTCTTTATGCAATATCTTATAGCTGCTATATGTATCTCTTATAATATCTGTGATCCACGCATTCATGCTAACAGTTACATATGTACATTCACACGAATATGTTAAGAGTACTTTACGAGTACCAGGTGAAAATGTAGAAAATCACTTTTATTTTCAATTATTTACAGTGCTAACTATGTATTATAAGTAATATAAATTCCAAGCTTCAAGCTGAAGACCTCAGACACCTTGCCGCTTTTTAACAAGCGAGATTTTTACGGGTTTAGTCCGATCGGTTGAGGTCAAGGTTATTGGAAGCAAGGAGCATAGTGATGCTAGTAATATGATAACAAAAATATTCCGTGTTCCACCGCGGTTGAAAACATACTGGAATAAAAAAGGTACTAAAAAGAGCTTTACAAATATGTATCTATCGATTCAAACATCGATTCTAACAGAACCTACAAAGCATATTTAAAAAACTTTTATTTACTTTACCTGCACATATCGACGAATTTTCGCAAATCCTTTTTGACTTCTTTTTTAGACGTTATTGTTGGCTATGTTATATTTTATCCTGTTGCCTAAAATTTATATACAGTCTCGTAATTTTAATTTAAGAATAAATAAAATTTAAAATACTAGAGTGGGAACCCGGTTTCTGATAAAACAACCGGTTCAGACCTTCACTAAACTACAAGTCACAATATAAACGAATGGGGCACGAGGGTAAAAGCTCGAAAAGCCACAAACTGCCGTCAAGTTTCCAAACCATTTGAATATTAAATAGGTTGAAATACTTTCAAGTCACTTTCAGAAATATACTAATGTAGATCACGGATGAATTTTTTTCAAAATGCATCAAAACCTATAAAAAAATATATCTTGGATTTTTTGTCATTTTTTGGGAATCCCCTTCGAAAATGGGAGAAGCCTTGGGAGGGATATTATGACACACGGTGAAGGCCATATCTTTTCCAATTTTTACCTTATCCTTAAGCGGAGTACCTTTATCGATTTGTAGGTTGATTCTCCATAATTTTTCTATTAAATTTTTTAGGGATTCAGTCAAACATAGAATTCCCATCAAATTTTTAAAACAGGTGTGATAATTAGGTTTTTGATTATAATTATTTTATTGAACCAACTAAATATATTAGATCCCTTTTCAATTGGCTAAAAATGTCGATGAATATGCTAAATTATTAAATCTAAGGGAATACAAATATTGTATAATATATGTTTTATCGGAAACGCTTTTTTCATCAAAACTTACCACATAATCCCGGTAATATGTGAAAACGACGTAATCTGTAGCGATGTTGAAAACTGAGTATATGTTTAGAAATACAAAATAAAATTTAGGAATAATATTTTTTATTCTCCCTTCTAAATGAATATATTTACCGATAACATATACAGTATGTATTCCCTTCGAAACATCAAATCCGACATAATGTTGGTAATATTTCAAGCTGTACAATATTTCACTTAGGATTGATGAAACAGACATAATTGCCAAAGAAAATATTATGAATTTTAACTAAAAAATATGAATTTTGATTAAATGTTTTTTTTTTGAGTTAACACTCACTTTTATTCTTCTCCAAACCAAAAATAAACCATAAAGTGAATTTACAAAAAGTAAAACCGTTCAACATATCCAGATTGTCCAAATGTCTAAAAGGTCGTGGTGTTACTATTATATATCACTTTAATTTTAAATATTACCATATTTTTTATCATCAAATTCCGAAATCTAAAAAACAAACTTTTTTTTATATTTTTATTTATAAAGTCTTAGAGCTGTTGTTCAACAATACATACCATTATAAGAAAAACAACCGCTTGAAAAACAAACAAGAATACCGTCAATAATTGACAAGTTCTAGTGGTTTCGACGAGCATTACGGACAGACTAATGAAACATATTGCTGTGGCTTTATTAAAATGCATTAGTGAAAATGCTGGGGTGAATTAAAATTAATATACACTCTCTTAGGTCACCATCATTCGATTAGTCACACATGACCACAGGTAAAGCCTTAAAAAGAATTTTTTGTCGATGTAAGCAAGTAGCATATCCCACCAGAATGCTAAAATTAAATTTTTAGCTTATTACTTTTTTTTAAATGGACAACATACCAAAAATTCACAGTAATATGTGAACACAACATATTCTGTAGCCATGTTGAAAACTGCAAATATATTATAATAAAATTTTTTGTATATTTTTCTTAATTTACTCAATATTTTCAAAATGAAATTAATTTACCGATCACATATATAGTATCTATCTTCTTTGCATAGTTTAGTCCTTCGAATTGTAAGTAAAACCTTAAGCCGAAGAATATTTCGGATATAATTGTCGAAACAGACAAAATTGCCCATAACAATATTACTACTTTTATCTGTGAGTAAGAGAAACATAATTTTCTTATAAGATGAAAAAATGGTATGTAGTCTTTATGTAATTACCCGAATTTTTTTCCAAACCATTATCAATCCAAAAAGAGAATTAAAAAGCAAATAACTTGTGTTACATAGCCAGTTTGTATAAATATCTAAACACAATTTTATGTTATCCTTGAAAAATTTCATATTTAGTTTCAACATTTAAATTTTACCTTCCTTGTTATCGTAGGTCACAATCTGTAAAAACTTCAATTTTAAAACATTTCGATGAATGAAAACCAAACATACCGATATAATGTAACTTGTTCCATATAAAACCAATAAAACCACGATCAAAAAGTGACACATTTCAGTGGATCCAACAAGAGACAGAAACAAACTAATGAAGAAAATTTTTGGGACTCTTTTCATATTAGTACCTTGATTACAAATAATATAAACGTATTACATGCCCTACATCTTTACGATAACGTCTTTAATTTAACAGACCTTTATAAAATTAATAAACATAATTCTTACACCCCTGCAGAATGTCAAAATAAAACGATTAACTCATTTAAAATAAATATTACCTTACTGTTTCTTTTAAACATTTCACGTTGTTAGAGTAAAATGGAACTCTTTTTGTGCAGGGTATCATTATTTCCTACCTCAATTTAGAACTCTATTTTGACAAACTAGTAATTTTCACTATATGAAAAAAGGCTTATGTCCCAAACGCACTCAGTTTACTTTAGTCAGTCATGTGCTGCGTACTTCAACATCTGCTCAAAACTATTTGCATTTTAATAGCTATTTTTACACATATTATCTTAGTCTATGGTTTAATTAGTAGCTACAGCCAGATGGACATTAAAGACTACTTTTTTCTATCAATGAGAATGCATTTATATTATGGATTTAGCCTTTTTCATGGCATAAATGGAAACCTAATGACGGCTATCAAAGTTAAGGTTCGTAAAAATTCCAAAAAATTATTTTTTTATACATTTTTTCCATGTAGGATTTATGTTTTCTGCGCTACTGGCAATTGATGACATTCATTTATATAGTGGCAGGAATTACTCTACATTTGATCTTGTTCGACTACCATGATGAAGATTTTGGCTTAAGTGAAAAGGTCAAAAACTATTTTGGATTTGGTACGTTAGACATGTTTAATATGAGGATTACTTCATTCCTTTGATTAAAATGCATTATAGCCTACCTTTTGGTCAGTCTGTTAACCGTCTCTTTATACACAAGGACGCTACAACACAAGGAAGATGTATAGTTGCTATTATTAGTAAGTAATTATAGTTTGAATACAATTTCTGCTCTTAATGTTGCATATTAGGGGGATATATTATTTACTAATGATAATGATAGCGGGATAACCAAAAATATTAGGCCACCATAGATACTACCAACATTATTTTTGGGTTGCAGACACTTATTGGCCATGGCACTGAGAACTTTTATTTGCCTGACTTTTACATTCCATTTTTTACTCACCTGGATTCTGTCAGAAAGGGTTTTACCCTGCCTAACACATTGCATTGTCTATTGTAAGATTAGAGAAATAATCAAAAATCCTAATTAATACTCGATAATTTTAAAATATTTGTAGCGTCATGGAATAATTGTATAAATTATCACTTTAATACCACAGTGTTTTTATTTGCCCTTTATGGGGTTGGCGGATTCATTTTGGCATTCACAACTTACAAGGTAAGAAGATATATATATTCTTTTAAAGATTCATAGAAATGCTATACTTTTTTCAGGAATATCACTTACTTTACTATTGGATACTTGTTACTGCTCAAATGGTTATTTTAATGACGGCCTATATTTTGTGTGCTTATATATTATCGGATATTGAAGTTGATTCATTGACTATGGTTTGGTTTGGTATTTGCATCATTAACTTAAAATATTCTGTTTTTTACACGGTATTTACATTTTTAGGTACATTGGTCTCAGGCTTTCTAACGGTCATAATTTATTTATTGACATGCAAAGGATTTATTAAAAATAACTTTTTTATAACTATTTTCGACTTGAGAGACGAAAGTTCGAA